ACGTTACACACAGACACACAGTCACTTCGCTGTGACCCCACGTTACACACAGGCACACAGTCACTTCGCTGTGACTCCACGTTACACATAGACACTTGACTGTTACCCCACATTATACACAGACACTTCACAGTGACCCCACGTTACACACAGACACTTGACTGACCTCACATTACCCACAGTCACTTCACCGTGACCCCACGTTACACACACACAGTCACTTCATCGTGACCCCACATTATACACAGACACTTCACTGTAACCCCACGTTACACACATACACTTCACCGTGACCCCACGTTACACACAGGCACTTCACTGACCTCACGTTACACACACAGTCACTTCACCGTGACCTCACATTATACGCGGACACTTCACTATAACCCCACGTTACACACAGACACTTCACTGACCCCACGTTACACACACAGTCACTTCACCGTGACCTCACATTATACACAGTCACTTCACTGTGACCCCACGTTACACACAGACACTTCACCGTGACCCCACATTATACACAGACACTTCACTGTGACCCCACTTTATACACACACTGCTCAGTGACCCCACGTTACACACAGCCACTTCACTGACCCCACGTTACACAAACAGTCACTTCACTGTGACCCCACATGATACACAGTAACTTCACTGTGACCCTACGTTACACACAGACACGTCACCGTGACCCCACGTTACACACAGTCACTTCACCGTGGCCCCACGTTACACACAGACACTTCACCGTGACCCCACGTTACACACAGACACAGTCACTTCACCGTGACCCCACGCTACACACAGACACTTGACTGTGACTCCACGTTACACACAGATACTTCACTGTGACCCCACGTTACACACAGACACTTCACCGTGACCCCACGTTACACACAGACACAGTCACTTTACCGTGACCCCACGCTACACACAGACACTTGACTGTGACTCCACGTTACACACAGACACTTCACTGTGACCCTACGTTACACACAGACACTTCACCGTGACCCCACGTTACACACAGACACTTGACTGTGACTCCACGTTACTCACAGACACTTGACTGTGACCCCACGTTACACACAGACAGTCACTTCACCGTGACCCCACGTTACACACAGATACACAGACACTTCACTGTGACCCCACGTTACACACAGACACACAGTCACTTCGCTGTGACCCCACGTTACACACAGTCACTTCACTGTGACCCCACGTTACCCCACGTTACACACAGTCACCTCACTGTGACCCCACGTTACACACAGACACTTCACCGTGACTCCACATTATACACAGACACTTCACTGTGACCCCACGTTACACACAGACACACAGTCACTTCACTGTGACCCCACGTTACACACAGACACACAGTCACTCCACTGTGACCCCACGTTACACACAGACACACAGACACTTCACTGTGACCCCACGTTACACACAGACACACAGTCACTCCACTGTGACCCCACGTTACACACAGACACACAGTCACTTCGCTGTGACTCCACGTTACACACAGACACACAGTCACTTCGCTGTGACTCCACGTTACACACACACACACGCACCGAGAGTGAATTCGCTGAGCTCACATTACACACAGGGCGACACACAGAGAGACAGCCACGGGGCAGGATTTCTCTCGGCCGGGCCCCTCAGGGCAACGCAGCTCTACCCTGGAGTTTGGTTCGTATCGGATGATCTTTACAAGAGTTACCGTGACCCCGCATCGCAGACGGACGGGCATAGCCGGTGTGTACATGATGTCATTGGTGCCACGCGCTAACAGCACTTGCCACAACAGTCTGTGCAGGCTATACGGGGGGATCTTTGTCTTTCTACTTGATTTCAACATTATCATGCAAAGCGTGAATCCTGCATGCACATACACGGCACGACGGCAAAGACGTTTCCATGTTCGTGTCGATGTTGATATTTAGGCCTCGAGCAACAGCCCTTTTTAATGTTACATTGAGGTGGTTGACGAGACAGCTGATGGCGTCGGGTGTGGGCGCATCGCTGTGTTGATGCCGCCTATTCCTCCTCCTCCTCCCGTGTCTGTGAACCGGAGACATCGAGTCGCGAGACGTCCCCCACGGTTCTGTGGTGGGTGGGCTGACCACAGTCTCCACGCACGCTGCGGGAGAGTTTGTACATCTCCCATTAGTGCATCAACCACGTCGTCGTCGTCATCATCAGGTATCTGCGTCTGCTGCTACCATGGCTTGTGCAGTGGATGTGGCTCAGGGGTTGTAGCCTCAGAAGCTTCTGGGGTAGAAGGTCTAAGCCAGAGATCTTCTGCGTCTTCGGGTCTTTCACGAGGAGGTGTTTGTGACTCCTCATCAACTCCATGCAGCTTTCCATGCAGCAGCATCAGGGTTGTTTGACTCGAGATGCACCGGTGAGAGCGAATGTAAGCAGAACTCGCCTTCTCTGTATCCACGCATAAACCGTGAGGTATGTCGAGTTCAGCGGCTGTGTGGCCTTCCAGACCAACGTTATCCAGCAGCAGTATTCGGGTTTTCACTTTCTGGGTCTCGTCAGCATCGCGACAACGTGGGGGGGGGGGGGGCACAGTGGTGCAATGTGGTGGAGGCGAGGGACGTTACTGAGACCTTGGTGGTGGATGATGTCATCGGATTCACCCGCCCCCTTCGTGTTTGCGGTCACGTGGGGGCAATGAGTAATAGTGACCCACGACGAGTGAGGAGCAGCTGATGATTAAAGCAGTGCACGCAAAGAGATATTTTTTTAAATATTCATTTCACAAGCACGGTTAAGTCACAATATGGATGTCTGCCCACGGAAAATCGAAAGATAATTGCACTCTCGGTCGATTGTATTTCAAAAATGTGTTGTTACGCCGATCCAACGTTGAACATTTTATTAAAACCGAAGTGATTTTCTAATAAAATGAGCCACATTAAGGCATTGGTGCTCAACTCCCGTTTATAGCCCTTAGCCAATGTGGCATTTCCACATGAAAATATGTTGGTGGCGAGCCTATCCACAAAACAACTAGTTAACTTCCCCACAACATGGTACTGATTTTATTGACTCTGCAGGGATGATGGGCCAAGTCAACCCCCCCCCCTCCTTCCACAACCAGAATCCGAACTCGCGACTTTCCGACTGCGAGCCCCTCGCCCTGCCGCCGGGGTCATCGGCTAGGGCAGTGGCTCTCAACCTGGGGTGTATCTCACAACCCCCTGGGGGTGCAAGATGCCCTTTCTGGGGGTGCAAGATGCCCTTTCTGGGGGGTAGCGAGACATGGACAGATTTTTCTTTTTAGACGGTAAATAATCGAAAAAACAAATGAAGCATGGGCACCGTAAGTTACCACTTTGTGTTTCATCAAATCCCTACGTATTTATGAACATTATACTTTTTTTTTACGACTGACAACCAAAGGCTGCAGTAAAGGTCAAGGGGCCGCTGTACTAGAGGCTGGCTGTGAAACTTGAATTTGAATGCGCCTGCTGCTGCCGGCTGCGATAGGTTTCGACTCTCAAGCCTCGACGTGGCATCGTTGCGCAAAGCGTTCAGTGTCGGTCACGGTGCTTGCTACGCAGCCCAGGCAGGCAGCGAGGGGGCCCGCGTCACTTCGCCAACAGCTGCGCGGAGGGGTTCGGGCCGTGGCACTGACCCCACACTCAGACAACCTCCACCCCACCCCTGCCAATTCCCCTTTCTGGTCACTTTCTTTGCTAGCCGGGAATCTTTGCTGTCAGGTATTTATAATGATTTAGGGGCGCCACGGTGGCTAGGATATGTCAATTCCCTCGCCTGGTATGCAGGAAGACGTGGGTTCGATTCCGACCCTGACACCTGCTGTATATTTGGAGTTTGCACGGTGGCTAGGAGATGTTAACTACATAGCCTGGTAAATTTTGATTTAAAGCTTTTGTGACTGCAGTAATTCATATTCTTAGCTCTTTCGGTAAAGTCACGTTGAAGAGAAACAATTAAATAATAAAATATATATAAAACAATAAAAATTCTCACGACGTTTCGACCATAACACAAACGGTCGTCATCAGGTGTGTCGGTTTGCATTGTGCAAACCGACACACAAACCGACACACCTGATGACGACCGTTTGTGTTATGGTCGAAACGTCGTGAGAATTTGTATTGTTTTATATATTTTATTATTTTATTGTTTCCCTTCAACGTGACTTTACCGAAAGAGCTAAGATATACATAGCCTGGTATTAAGGAGGTCGTGGGTTTTATCTCGACCCTGACGCCTGCGGTGTATTTGGAGTGTGCATGGTGGTGAGATGTTAACTACCTCGCCTGATATAAGGAGGCGTGGGTTTGATCCCGACCCTGACGCCTGCTGTATATTTGGAGTTTGCGTGTCTCTCTCCCTCCCCGTGGTCGCGTGGATTTTTCTTCGGGTCCTCCGTTTTGTCCTCCACATTTAGAATCAACATCACGCGCTTAGAGTATTTGTCAGCAATAAATGTCCACATGATAAGCTGATTCGTTGAGCTGTCATTTGTGGCCAGGTCGCTTCTGAAAAGTTGCGATATAGCCCAGTGGGCCTTACCTGGTAACATAAAAAAAATCGTTAGTGAAATAGTTACTACAGCACACACCGGTTACTAACCACTGGTTAATACCATAATAACCGAGCTTGCATCTAAGATGTGCTTGTATGCATATCACAAACCTGTCAATCTCTTATCAACGTTCATCCAACAAAGTCCCATGACAAGGGAGAAACACAGACACATTTTTTTTTTAGTTTGCCCGTATTGAAACGGCTGTACCACCGTTTGAACCTGGACACTCAATTTCCCTGCACAAGAATACGGGGTAAACCGTATGGGTTGACACGGTGTGCTGTCAGCGCGCACTCCTGGACTATGCACACATTGAACGTGAACGCTTTGGATCGCAGTTCTGTAATGAATCAAGTTTCTCTCGTAGGGGGCAATGCGCGCGCGAGAGACAAACGCCAGCCGATATAATTAGCCCGGGACTTATGGAGGTGGCGGTGGGTGTGGGAGCCGGAGTCATTCGCTCCGCGGACGACGAGGCAGTCGCCACGTCCTCCCTCCCCTCTCTCCTGGCCTCCCTGTGTGTCCCACACCTTTTTTGTGTTGCGAGGGACCATCGCCGCGGAGATGGAACGTTGGCGGAGCGGTGGAGCGTGTAACAAGGCGAGATAGCAACTCCTGTGTCAGATGCTGCTGGTGGTTGTGATAGAAGGTGGGTGATGATGTCAGTGACTTCTTTTTTTAGGAGTTTGCCGAGCACAGGCTCAAAACGTCGAGCGGCCAGCAACAAGCTGCACGATTAATAATAATACGTTGTAACGAATACGAGTGTATGGAACGCGTTTCTTGCATTGAGTGAGGTTATTATTGGAGGAGCTTTGGGGGGGGGGGGGGGCGACAGAGACGATGGGAGTCGGTAGGAATTCCACAGTGGAGCAGTGCGAGGGAAGAAGCAGAGAGAGAAGTGAGGTGTCCTGTAGTGTGGTGAGAGTGAGTTATTGTGACCTGCAGTGTGGTGTGTTGTTGTGACCTGCAGTGTGGTGAGTGTGTGGGTGAGTGTGTTGTGACCTGTAGTGTGGTGAGGGTGAGTGAGTGGGTGAGTGAGTGTGTTGTTGTGACCTGCAGTGTGGTGAGTGAGTGTGTGGGTGAGTGGGTGGGTGAGTGAGTGGGTGTGTTGTTGTGGGCAGCAGTAGTGTAGCGGTTAGCGCGCTGCGCTATGAACCCGGCGATCCGGGTTCGATTCGCGCTCACGGTCAACACCAGTGACGATTATCTGAACCGGTCTAGGGCCTCCCCTAGGTCGACTCAGCCTCAAATGAGTACCTGGTGCGGTGTGTAAACATCGCCACTGGGGAGATAAAGGTGGTTGGGCGTGGTGCTGGCCACCTACCCCCTCGTGTGCCGTTCCGGCCTTCATAGGTCCTCGCTAAAAGAACCTGCCTCCACAATCTGTTAAGGCTATACGGGGGATCTTTGTCTTTTTTGTTGTGACCTGCAGTGTGGTGAGTGGGTGAGTGAGTGAGTGGGTGAGCGAGTGTTGTTGTGACCTGCAGTGTGGTGAGCGAGTGTGTGGTTGAGTGAGTGGATGACTCGCAGTGTGGTGAGTGTGTTGTTGAGTGAGTGTGTTGTGACCTGTCGTGTGGTGTGTGGGTGGGTGAGTGTGTTGTGGTGACATGCAGTGGGGTGAGTTTGATGAGATGAAACAGTGTCTGGTAGACAATGATGTGTGAGTGATGTGGGGACATCGTGACAATCTGGTCCTGTACTGTCGTGGGGGGCTGAAGGGGGGCCGAGCCCTTCCCCTGCCCCCGCCAACTTGCTGAAGAATCAGCTCTCCTTCTATATTTCCTCAATATTCAATACCGGTTGCCGTTATTATTTGGCCGTCCCACAGCAAGGGGTGAGCGCTCGACCAAAGCCGACCGCATCAACGCTGTTAGTGTCCTTCCTGCCCGGCCTCCATCCTCCCTCCCCACACACCGAATTCGTGTGTGCCCCCCCCCCCCCCTTTCTTTAAACAAGGTCACGCTCCAGGCTGTGACCGTGCCTCTGCGGCCTGCTCGCGCCCGCTCATCTCATCGTGAGACACGGCACCTGGGGATTCATCTCAGCCGGGGTCTGTCTCGGTCGGAGTCCCATGACATATTTTGGCACCAGGCACACCACATCCAGTATACCCTTTACTGTGGCTCTAGCCTGCCACGAGTCACGTGCCACATACTCCAGTCTACAAAGTGACCTGGAAAATATTCAGCCGAAAATTCAGCCCTGCGAGTACCCATAGTGTAATGTGAAGAAATATATTGTTATTATTATTTTACAGCCTCTTTGTCAATCCACTGCCGTGTTGGTCACTGGAGTTGTTTGACCATACTTCACCGCGCTGGTCAGTGTGGGGTTGATGAATGGGGCTCAGGACTGTTTCAGACATCACTCGCTGTGGCCGGGCATCGAACTTACATCGCCGGATTGTAATCGCGAGGAATTTGGGAACTCTCTTGCAGCTCACCGGTGCATCGCCGTGTGGAAATTAAAATCGCTTGGCTGTGTCGGGGGGTAGTGGTGGAGGGTTTTCCGACACCAATTTGACGAGATTGTCATTATGCTGCTCCACCCGAGGGTCGCCGATGAATCGTGACATCGGCTGCAAAATACACAAGTGTTGTTACACGCGTTATTCTTTTATATTTGATATGCCGTCAGGATTTGGTTAAACTCGCAGCCGTGGCGTTGACCAAGCGTGACTCCAATTTCGTCGGCGATAATGACAAGATAACCGACCGTCTGAATAAAACCGTGAGCCCGACGATAAATGACTCAACCCGCTCGGGCTCGCCATCGTGGTGCTTTCGCGCATTTGGCGGCTCATGGCGGTTGCTATAAATACTCCGAGTGAGCCGGGCGGCTGCGCGCATACCCGCGTCGCCGTTACCAAAACTCTCGGGCACTGTACGAGCGGTGATATTGAGTTGCAGGCGGGCGCAAAGCTTTCACGATGGGGGTGGGGGGGGGGGAATCGGAGTGGCCGCTGGATATTTTGGCCTCTGCATGTTTATTCATTTTTCAGGGAAACCTTTGCACGACTGCATGCGAATCTGTGCACGAGATATCCGGCGAGCTGCAGCGAACGTACGTGCGGATTGAGAGTTGTGACTTGGTGCCACGCTGCTGCAGCGACGGCGGCGGTGGCTGCAGCGCATTGCTGCCTAGGATTCGCTACGGAGCTTCGGGTAAGGCTTCTCAATCCCTCCCCCCCCCCTCCGTTATTGTCACCCCTCACCAGCCGCCTTGTCTGTCGCTCCGACTAAAGGCCAACACTGTGGGTGACATGTCCTCAGTGGCGGTCGGAGACTCCGCCGAGCACCCGGTGGGACCGAGCAAGGAACCCAGCGTCTCCGAAATCCATGGTCCATCGGACGGTTCCAGGGCCACGCCACCCGAGTGGGCCTACGTGGAGATCAGAGAGGCATCCCCCGATCGCTCGGTGTGGGCGGGCGCGCGGGGCGGCGATGCGGCGTGCGGCTCGGGAAGCGGTGGCGATGTAGGATGGGGGGCGGCGCTCACGAGTGAAGGCGGCGAGGTCAAGCCCGCGGCAGAAGTGGCAACGAGCCGCGGCGGGGACATGGGCATCGTGGCAAGCTCCACGGACGACGAGTCCATCGTCTATCACGACACGCTCACGCCTGAGGAGGCGCAGCTAGCTGCCGGTCGCTACGGTGAAGAAGATGCGCCAGACGGGACAGCGGATTGGCGGGATGGCAGCGAGCGCTTGCCGGATGAGACGGCGGATCGGCGGGACAATGGCGAACGCTTGCCGGATGAGACGGCGGATCGGCGGGACAGTGGCGAGCGAGTCCCGGATGGGATGGCGGATCGGCGAGACAGCGGCGAGCGCGTGTCAAATGGGACAGCGGATCGATGGGACGGTGGTGAGTGCACGCCAGATCAGATAGCGGACCGGCAGAACGGTGGTGACTGCATGCCAGACGAAACGGCAGATCAGCGGGATGGCAGTGAGCACACTCCAGATGGGATGGCGGATCGGTGGGACAGCGGTGAGGAACTGGAACAGAGTGAAACGGCAGATGCCTTCAATGAGCACTTGAGCGGTGCTGCCCGTGCGAGTGATGGCGATGCTCCAGCAGAAGATGGAGTCAGTGACAGAAACTCAAGCGGGGAAGCAGTGGCAGTGCAGGATGTCTCGCCTGACTCGCCCGACTCACCCTCGCTCGACTCACCTTCGCCTGACTCGCCCGACTCACCCTCGCCCACCAGCTCGGCGGAGCACGAGCCGAATCCCGCGCGCGGAGAGGCAGGCGACGCGAGCGAGGTGAACTTCATCACCACGCACGAGATCAACATCGGCGACCCAGAGCGGCGCCTCGGAAGCCAGGACGTGTGGCGCTTCGCGAGCGGCGAGCGCTGCAGGACGAGCCGCGATGCAACCCGAACCCCAGAGACGACGGTGGGCGGCGCCGGCACTGGTGCGTCGCCGGTGCCGGCACGGGACTCGGTGGCGGGGGCAGCGGGGGGCGAGTCCGTGCACGAGAGCTCCGTAACGTGGGTGCCCACCTCGCCGCTGTCGGCCGAAGAGCCACGGGATTATTACATCACCGTGGAATGCCGTCGCCTGGCGGAGGAGACGCGCAGCGGAGGGGCAGAGAAGATTGAGAATTGTGTAGGGGGCGGGAGAGGCAGCACGGGGGAGCTTGAGGAGGCGGCAGGCGGCCCCATAGAGGTGGTCAGCCCCGGCTACGGCGGCGACGGGGCCGAGAAGGGATGTCGCTCGGCGCTTCTGGCGACGGACGGATTTGAGTGGAGGGCAGAGGAACAGAAGCTGAGCATGAGCGCCGATTCATCCAGCGAGGCCAGCACCGCCGCCAGCTCACCAACTGTGGGCGGCCTAGATGAAGACGCATGGATGGTTGGCGACGCCGGTTGCGGGAAGCTGTTGGTGTCAGAGTTTGTGTCGGTCACACCGCCAGGCGTCACCATCGAAGAACTCGATGACGACGACGATGGTGCCGACCAATTCGGAGGTTTCGGCAAAATTCCCACGGACGTCATCTGCTGTGACCCCACTCGTGGCAGCGGAGAAATGTTCGCCACCGCCGCTGATGATCGAAAAGAAAATGCTCGCGGGGGCCGCGACGATGACGAGGGTAGCGGGCCGAATCCCCCATGTGTGGGAGACGTCACGCACAGTGGCGTGAACGGCTACGCGAGTGACGCTTCCAGCGGCGGGGTGGATGACGTGGACAACGAGGTGCGCAGCCTGACCGCGAAGGCCTTCCGGAGCCTGTCGTGCCCCTATGAGCCATACCCGGAGAAGGCCGTGCCGGCGCCCGGCTCACCCATCGACGCCAATCCGGGCGCCATCTGGTTTCCAGATGACGACATTTCACTCAACCGCTGGCCGACATACGTCGACTTGGGGCGGCGCGACGAGGTAATGGTCAACGTCGCATCGGATGCCGGTGCTCGCGTGGCTAATGGGAGAATCATCACGACGGTGACGCGGGCCGATGGGACGTTTGCGCGGTGCAGCGGCAGGTCTGCGTCGAGCGGGAGGGAGAACGTCAGGGGCGGCGGCGGTGGCTCGGAGCAGACCCAAGTGACGGGCACCGTGATGAAACGCTCCGTGGTGTTGAGACAGAAACAGGAGTTGCATCAGCGGCATCAGCAGCAGCAGGCGGCTGTGGTGACGTTGGAGAGGGAGTTTGAGAATTCACAAGAGGACACAGTGAAGATGCACATCGAGGACAACGTGACGTTCTCGTGCAGCATGCACTCGCACACGCAGGAGAAGAGAAGTGCCTGCTACAGCGGGCAGCAGCAGGAGCAGGAGCAGGTGCAGCTGCAAGTGCACCATCAGCATTTCTCACAGAGCCGACAAACGTGGAGCAGCAATGATGCGAGCGAAGTCAACGCCGCGCACGCCCCGGACGACAGCGACGCGGACGCGGCGGCGCGCACGACCAACGGCAAGCCAGCCGGTCACGCCAAGCAGGCATCCAGCATCCTGAAGAACGTCATCTCAAAGAAGATGCAGCTGGAGCAGGAGCTGAGGATGGAGAGGGGGGAGTTGAGAGACACGAGCATGACGGTGGAATGCGCGGAGTTGCGATTCACCGGCAGAGTTGCAGGAATCGACGCCACGGCTGTAAATGGTGATGGAGGCGACCCAGGCGAGGGACAAGATTGCGGTGGGTTTGCCAACTCTGCAGGAGCGGATGTGTGTTCCGGTTCTGCGCCGCACGATGAGACGCAAGTGGAGCCGGCGAGCCGTCATCATCCTCATCATCGTCATCGTCATCGTCATCATCGTCACACAGCGGAGGTCGAGGATGGAAAAGATGACAGTGCTAAGATGAACAGGGTTGAGAAAAAGGGGAATGGCCAGGGGAATGGACAGGAGAATGGACAGGGGAATGGACAGGAGAATGGACAGGAGAATGGGCAGGGGTATGGACAGGGAAATAGACAGGGGAATGAACAGGCAAATGAACAGGGGAATGGACAGGGGAATAGACAAGGGAATGAACAGGGAAATGAACAGGGGAATGGACAGGGGAATGGACAGGGGAATGGACAGGGGAATGGACAGGGGAATGAAAAGGGGAATGAAAAGGGGAATGAAAAGAGGAATAAACAGGGTAATGAACAGGGTAATGAACAGCGAAATAAACAGGGGAATGAACAGGGAAATGAACAGGGAAATGAACAGGGGAATGGACAGGGGAATGGGCAGGGGAATGGACAGGGGAATAAACAAGGTAATGAACAGGGAAATGGACAGGGAAATAAACAGGGAAATGAACAGGGGACTGGGCAGGGAAATAAGAGGATGCTGGGAGGCGAATTGAGCATGGATACGAATGTTCGGGGTAAAACTAAAGCTTCAGAAGGACAGACGCGCAGCACAGGGAAATCTAAGAGAGGCGCCTCTGGAAAAGCGACGGTGTCGAGGAACATCTTCCTGCACAGCGAGCACAGCGCGTTTCGCTCGTGGAGGCAACGACGCGGGGAACAGCGGCACGGCAAGGAGCAGACTGTATCGCTGGCACAGGTCGTGGTGCAAGACGCGCGGCAGCAAACGATCCAAATCGACATTCCGCACCGCGGCACCGGGAGAAGGAATGAAATCGCCCTCCCACCAGAAGATCTGCACGGGAAGAATGAATACTGCTCCTTCGCTGGCCCTGAAGAGAAGGCAGCGCCCGCGGCTCCACGCGTTCGGCATGGCGGCAGCGGCGCTTGCTCCGCCGCATCGCCTGAGCGCGATGTTGGCACGGGCAGTGGCGACAATGGTGGGAAACGCGCGGACGGCGGCAGCGCATGTGCCACGCTGCGGGCCGAGGTGCGCGTCGAACGCGCCGATGACGATTGCGCCAAGCGGCCGAGAAGCGCATCTCAGGACGACAATCGAGACTCCGGCGACCGCCGACCTCCTCCCGCATACGCCACCTACAAGAGCAACAACACGCTTTACATCGGCGACACGACCAAGGCCGTGGTGATGTCCTGCTCCCCCGAGATCAAGATCAGCCTGCGGAAGACAGGCAGCGATGCCAAGACAAGCCCGTTCAGCATTGCCAAGCTCTTGACGCCCAACATCGCCGTGGAGCCAGCCGCCCAAAAAGCCCCCGGAGCGGAGGAGGCTCAGACGGGCGAGACAAGGCCCACGGCGAGCTACACGCTCCCGGCCATTTTCAAAATCGAGCCAGTGGAGATGGCAATGCCGGTGAGAGTGGAGGAGAAACCAAAGTTCCAGGCACCGCTCCACCAGGTGCGTGACGTCCGCAAGCTCGTCAAGAGCACGTACCCGACTGCCCGTGTCGAGCCGAGCGAAGTTGTGGGCTCCCACCGCGGGCCGGCGATGCAGACGGTGATGCAAATGGGAGGGGCAGCCGCAGTGGCGGTGGCGGTCTCGGGACTGGCGGAACGAGAGCGGACGAGCCAGCTACAGCCCGTGAACTTGCAGTCCAACGCGGGCCGTGAAATCGGGGCCATACTGCCGCTCGTCATCAACTGCAAGTCGATCACGAGGAAGGAAGGTGGTGAGGGCCAAGACGCTAACAGTAATGACGGAGGGAGCAATTGCAGCAGCAGCAGCGTCAGGCCGGTGGTGATACCGGCGGCGGCGGTGGTGGCGGCAGTGAGGGAGGTGGAGAAGGAGTGTAAGCGGGAGAGCGAGCCGCCACCCTACCGTCTCATGGCCAAGTCTTCAGACACGTCGCCGTCTGTTCAGCTGGACCACCCGGCGTGGCCGCCGTGCTCCCTGCTACGGACACCGAAGCTGGAAGAGGTCAAGAGGCCGGCAACAGTCGCTGAGGCTGACGTGCTCGCTGACGGTGATGGGCCCCAAGGAGGCCACTCGCTGGAAGGCGCGCGGCACGCTCCCAAAAGCCGGCAGGCAGCGGAGATGCCATCAGCAGCGGCGTGCTCCACGGGCAACACGTGCTTGCCGCGTGAGCAGAATGAGGGGAAGAGACAGCAGCAAGGTGCCCAGGGCCCCGCGCAGGGCAGCCACGTCCAGTCGCTCATCGCGTCCCTCGAGGAGGGTGCCAAGGGGAAGCTCAGATCTGCTCCAGTGGTGGAAGATAGCGCGGCGGAGTGCGACGGGAGACCGAGTTCCGCGCTAGAAAGGTCGAGTCGCCAGCAGCGGCCTGAGCAACGGGAGCAGCTGCAGGCGCGGCCGCAACCGACACAAGAGCTGCCAAAACCACAGCAGCCAAGTGAAATTTTCGACGCCACAAGCCGAGATGTGCCAGAGGAAGCAGATTCTTGTAAAGACGGGAATAAGCAAGACGAAAAACCGCCCGACGTGTTTCCACCGAACGACGGCAGAGCAGAGCTCCCGCACGCCGATGGAGAGAAAGCGGTGGAAAATCTCAAGGCGCAGTTTGCGCCGAGGCCGGTAGTGACCCAGACGAGGGCTCTATTTGCAAGCTCTCCCTCACCAGCGTGCAGGGTCCGGTCCTCCTGGCAGAGCCAGAAGATCACCAACAAGGTTCCGCAGCCGTTCTCCACCATGCGAACGACGTCGGCCTCCGCGGTGCTCTCGGGCCTCAGTGGCACTACGGTGCTCGGCGCGCATGCGGGAGACCAGGGCCAGAAGATGGTGATCCGATCGGTGAGGCCGCCGTGCGCCGTACGCATGGACGAAGCCAAAATGGGGAACCTGGCACAGGAAAATTCTCTCCAACAGCAGCAGCAGCCAGAGACACCAGGCCAAGCGGCGGCAGATAGCGAATACTACCTGACGCTGCCAACTATGTTGGAGAACGGCGGAGCAGCCAACTCCCAGACGTGCCTGGACAAGGAAGAGCCGCTGGTGACTACGCCGCCCAAAGTACCGCCAAAGACGTACAAGGATTTCAGTCAGGCAGGTGCCTTGGCCGGCAGCGGCGTCAGGCCGCACCCACTGCACCATCACCTCCAACACCGGCGCCAGCCACCGAGATCCTCCTCGAGCGACGAGAGAGTGAAGCGTGGCTCGATCGATAGCAGTGGGGCGAGCGCGAGCGGCAAAAGCACCCCGAGCCCGAGCCCCGTCTTCGATTTCGGAAAAACTCAGAAGCCGGCGGTCATGCAACCGCTGATGTGCCCTCCATCGCCAATGATCCTGCAGCCCATGCAGTGCCCTGGTTTCCCTGGTGCCGTGCCGGCGCCAATGCTGGCGCAAAACCACGGTGTGCCATCGTGTGAGGGCTCAGAGATGCCGGCGCAAATATCCTACGTGCAGCTGCCCGCCGTGCAGGCGCAACACAAGATGCTGATCGACCCAGAGACGGGGCAGTGCTACTGGGTGGAGACGCCGCCGCAGCCTCAGCGCAAGAGGCTTTACGACCCCGATACGCAGCAGTACGTGGAGGTGGCGATCCCCCCGCACGGCCTGGCGATGCCCCCCAGCGCGGGTGGGGGTGCAATGTACGCTGCGCCACCACAGCTCATGCTGGCGGCATCGCCACACGTGCCATACGGGTCGGCGTTTGTAATGTACCAGAGCGTCATGCCCACGCAGATGGCGGCAACGGCGTCGCCCGGCTGTGAGTATTCCCAGCAGCAGATGCAGATGATGCAGCTGCATATGATGCACAAAAGCCAGCAGCAGCAGCAGCACTATCTCAGCCAAAGTGTGCACGGCATCTCTTCAGAACCGCAGAGCCCTTTGGACAAACCGCTCTTCAAGGCCGCTCCAGACGAAGTCAGTGCTGCCAACGACCGGCCGTACTTCCTCCCATCGGGCATGGTGCTGGCCCAACCCCAGGCCGTGTACACGCTCCCGGCGACCTCGGCCGGCGGTCAGCCGGGCGCGGGCGTAGACGCCAACCTGCCCAAGGGCAGCGGCGTCGCCTCCGAGTCGCCACCGACGCAGGGCCCGCGCATTGTGGCGCCGCCCCTATTCGACGGCACGATGATGAGCTTCGTGGTGGAGCACAGGTGAACGGGTAGCACGGGGAAGGACCGAGAGAGAGAGGGAGCACCGGTGAGTTTCTCTCTGGCGCATGTCCCCCTACCGCTTATGGCTATGGTTTTGGTACGGTGATTGTTTTGGAAAATGAGTGGAGTACAAAGCTAGAACGGGCTAGTCCACTCTAGCTCTGTACTGCACTCTACAGGAGTAGCGACAGCAGAGGACAAAACTAGACCGGCATGGCATGGGTCGTGATAGCATGGTTGGTTATGTATAGTGCGAAAGAAGTTCAACATACAAACATACTGCGTGGCATTGGAGACGCAGCTCAGAGTGAGGCATGCCGTTGCACTGCACCACGTCTCACTTTCTGAAATTTTCAGGTTCTCTCCAATTCGCATTTTTCTCAGGGGGACGTCGCGACCATGTGACGCTTTCCGGCCTTTCTGATAATCTGCTGCACGACCATACTTCAACCGCGCCGATTGATTTGAATCGATGAAGGCGACGAGTATGAACAGAGAGGTGCAGCGTGGGGTGGGGGGTTCGTGAGGACCAGAGTGGAGGGCAGCTCAGCTCTATACGATGACGGACACCTGCAGCTACCCACACACATGTTACATTGTGCCCTGTGTGCATTCATGTGTGTGTGTGCGTGTGCTCGCGTGTATCCACAGCTGAGTGGCCGCTGAGATTCCTGGACAGAGCTCGGTGATGCAAATAAAAAGATCGCCCGTGTAGCCTTTAACAGACTTTTGGGGCAAATGCTGTTGGCTAGCACTTACGAAGGCCGTACACACGGGGACACACACGCGCGCGCATGCGTCTTCCAAGCTGAACGTGGGATGCGTGACTCGCTCAACTTGCACTCGGGCCCTGCGGTATGACCTTGCTTTGAGAGTGGGGTGCATAAACATTCGGCTGGGGCGGGTGCATGATGCAGCCAATGCTAAGCAAACTTTACACGTTGAACGCTAAACACAAGGAGTACCGACGCGATCTGCTTGTTGTCTCTCGTGCCTTCTCCCATGCCACATGTGTATATGTTGTAACCACCACGTTTTTGACTCGGCAGTCGGAATTCTAGAACTGTGGTCCCTTGGCCTAACGATGGCTCGTCCGTACCACTTGGGGTGGCAAATGATACCGATGATTTTACGGAATAGCATTTCACCTCCAGATCGGAAAACATTCACCAAGCGAAATTGCCGCGCCAGCTTCGCTCGAGACGTGCCGTTAGAGACAGGATGGCGGCGGTGGTAATATTGAAAGAAAACAAAAATGGAATCGTAATCTAACGTGAATTATCCGCGGAAAATCAACACGGAGCGCGTCTCGAACTTAGACGGCGTGTACACCGGTAAGCACTGCCCATGGTGGACACTGCCCGTAGTGGGCACTGCCCAGGGTGGACACTGCTCATGGTGGACACTGCCAATTGGTAGCGTTTACCTCCCCACCAAGTGATACCCGCTCTTGCGGCTTTTAACCATGGGGCCCGAGACGCGGTGATTAAAGCCGGCTCGCGTCGCCATCGTCGCCAAGGCACCGTAACCTTTGTATTTTCTTTTCTTTTCCAACTCCTATCTTGTTTTGTTCACTATATATTTGAAGGGTTAAACCCCAAACCCGTTTCACCCCCCCCCTCCTCACCTCCACGAGTGGCCTGCCAATTAGGCTTCAGATTCTCAAAAGGACGAGGTTTTGGGGGAACCCGCATTGCTAAGACTGCTGCAGCCTGCATGCGATGCCTGCTGACGTGAGACCACGTCAGGCCATTTAGGATGCGGGATCCATGACCCCGTGTTGCCGTGTATGTGCGTGTGACACGTTTACTCGTTGTTTCCGGGTTAGCCGGAACGGCACTGTGTCAGGAATTATTCGGGCCATGCTGATACATCCATTTGCCCGCCTTTTTCTGTCCTTATGAGTCCACGCATCTCGTTTGTTTGATGCGCCCCGCTCGTACGATTGTGGCCATGCAACCCAAACTATGGACCACAGAGTAAACCCATAGAGACTCATAGAGATACACAAGAGGCACACAGACAGCCCATACAGATACATATAGACCCATCGAGAAAAATACAGATATACACGGAGAGACACAGAGAGATACATTAAAGACAAACCACTGTGGTTGTAGTCATACAACCCACACTGTGGACTACACGGTAAACTACCGCAGTCTGCGCTCCTTCAACGGAGGAGGTAGGAAGCCCTCTCGTCGTGGCCAGCACCAGCAGGACCTCGACATTGGCATGGAGCTCCTGGCCGTACCGCTTCTGCCATCATACACAAAAACAGAATAGGATTGATGCAATGTAGTGTACAATAATTAATGCATTATTATGGACAGGCAGTACCTTTAAGTCTTAGTGGTAGTGCCTTACGCCCACTAATCCCTCCTCTCAAGCTGACCTAGCATCAGTGTTCCGAAAAATATGGCGTGAGAGATTAAGCCATGTACGGCTCCTTTGTAATCCACTGCTGGATGAAGTCCTCCCCACAACGCGCGCCTCGTCATACTTCACCACGCCGGTCAGTGCGTTTCTTCTCGAAGGTGGGCGGCATAAAACATCCGAGCATAGGAGTGTAATACAACAAGGGAGGTTGACATGCTGGCCCTACTCTGCGCACCGCCTAGCTGACCCACGGGCACCCCCAAGATGCCCGTGGTCACGCGTGAATCAGAATAAGAATATATTTTAACTTCTTTGGTTCTTTCGGTAAAGTCACGTAGAATGAGAATAAAATAATAAATTGATAAAATAAAATAACACAATAATATTCTCACGACGTTTCGGCCACAACACAAGCGGCCTTCATCAGGTGAAGGGACGAGACTGTCTGGTAGGACAGCACTGGAGTGAAAGAGCCACGTTCAGATCACGGCCTTTAAGCTGTGTGAGAGGAACAAAGCGCCTTGACAAAGGAATTAGCATATAATTTAGCATTGAAATGGCTGAATGATTAGCTTGTGACTGGTCACAGAAATAGCTATGTTAAAAGTTAAAGCATACACATCCGCAGAGGCACCCATTGTTAAAGGAATTAGCATAGAATTTAGCATTGAAATGGCTAAGTTAAGGCATACACATCCGCAGAGGCACCCCTTGACAATGGAATTAGCATAGAATTTAGCATTGAAATAGCTGAGTGATCAGCCTGTAACTGCTCACAGAAATAGCTACGCCAAAGTCAGAGCATACACATTCACCGAGGCACCTAGTACAAATCAAACAGGAGAATCTAGCATTGAAATAACTAGGCGAATTTAGCATTGAAATAACTGAGTGACCAGCTAGTGACTGGTCACAGAAATGACTACACATCTGAGCTATTCACAGTACTATATAGTGAACCAATAAAAAAACTAAAATATAAATTACCTTAATGTTATCAATAAACTCTATATTCTCCAATCAGCTAAGCTACCAACAATAAGTCGTTATATATCACAATGCTATATGGCGAAAAAATGGGTGGATTCTTACCCTCAACTTTAGCACCACGGATAGCTATGGGCCCCGTTCAGACGGACGAGTTCGTCCATGGTCGGAACAGAGGAGGGGGAGAGAGACAGCTGCGAGGCGCTACTCATACTCCATGTTGTAAAACCATACCATTAACCGTGGTGTGAGAGGTATTAAGAGTCAATGCTGGCGAAGGGGCTGCGGTCTGAAGGTCATCGTAAAAATACAATTAATTAAGAACAGAAATGATTTAAAACATTTTTCCAGTGGTTACTAAGCCAGAATCCATCTTCTCGGTTGAAATTGTCTCTGTGCTTGTATATGTGAATGGCCTCATGAACGAATCTCTCATGGTAGCCGGTTGGTTTGCAAAGAACCTCCGTCTTAGGAGTTATGTTATTTTATTTATCAATTTATTATTTTATTCTCATTCTACGTGACTTTACCGAAATAACCAAAGAAGATGAATCATTGCAGTCACGAAAGCTTTAAATCGAAATATATTTTAACATATAAAAAGCGAGAATCCTGGTGTCACGCTAACTCCGTAACGCTATCATTAATAATCATGAGCGGGTGACGTCACTCCACATGGAGCACCCCCCTCATTCATAATGAGAGGGTGACGTCACTCTACATGGAGCACCCCCCCCATTAATACTCATGAGCGGGTGACGTCACTCCACATGGAGCAATCCCCTCATTAATAATCATGAGCGGGTGACGTCACTCCACATGGAGCACCCCCTTCTTTAATAATGAGGGTGACGTTACTCCACATGGAGCACCCCTTCATTAATAATCATGAGGAGGAAACGTCACACCACATGGAGAACCCCCCCCTCATTAATACTCATGAGTGGGTGACGTCACTCCACATAGAGCAATCCCCTCAATAATAATGAGTGGGTGACGTCACTCCAAATGGAGCACCCCCCTCTTTAATAATCATGGTCGGATGACGTAACTCTACATGGGTGGGGGAGCCTCCTCCCTCCTCACCAAGAACTTAACCCTCGTTAAAAAACCAGAACCCTCAAGTCACGCGAACTCCGTAACGCTCCTGAGACAGAGAAGGAAAAAACGACGTCATGATGAACAAGGGATATAGCCGTCAAATAAAATAAGTCTGTGTTACCGGTCTTACAAATTGCACACTTATGGATGCACTGAATGTGACGTCACTGTCTGCTTTTCGCTTGAATATTTCAGATGTACTGCGATACGCCCGTCCTTGGATGGGCTGCAGGCTAGTTTATTTATACTCGAGGAGGAATCCGATGAGCTATAAAGCTCTTTTTCACAGATGTCCAGTAGGGGCACGGGGTCAGAAGGTTACTACTACAGCAAACTATAACAACACGATAGGAATGCAAAGAATAAAGGTAAATAAACCACCTAAAAATAAATACAAATAATAAACATTTTTTTATCTTACCAGGTAAACCCCACTGAGATAATAACTTGTTTTTCAGAAGCGACCTGGCCACAAATGATAGCCTCACCAAAGTGGCTTATCATGTGGAAATGTGTTGAAGCAAAATTATCTAAATGCATGTTTCTAAATGTGGAGGCAAAAACCGGAGGATCCGGAGAAAAAAAAATCTCGGCGAAAACGCGGAGAGAGACGCCGCAAACTCCAAATATACAGCAGGCGTCAGTGTTGGGATCGAACCCACGACCTCCTGTATATCCGGCGAGGTAGTTAACATCTCGTCACCATGCAAACTCCAAATATACAGCAGGTGTCAGTGTCGGGATCGAACCCACGTCATGTCTACCAGGCGAGGTAGTTAACATCTCGCCACCATGCAAACTCCAAATATACAGCAGGCGTCAGTGTTGGGATCGAACTCACGACCTCCTGCCTAAAGGCGAGGTAGTTAACATCTCATAGCCACCGTGACGACTGGGCCACCCACGGCTGTCACTGACAGTGAGGAGAGCAACAGCGGACTCCTCGCAGCCTCTGTGTTGTATCCGCCGTGTGTGCGTGTAATACACGTCGTGCTCTGTGTGCCTCCTTACCCGGACTCTGTGTGCGTCCTTTATATAACAATCATAATCTATAATAGAGGGGGGGGGCGACTTTGTTGGGTTAGATCGCCTAAATATAAATGTGTCGTTAAACCCGCCACCACCCGGCACGGCCAACTTGGCGTAGGTTTGTCACGTGAACAAAGCATGCCAATTAGTTACTAGTTTAGCACTAACGGGTTGCGTGTTTTGGGCGAGTAAACCCACCACAACATTTTTCAATCAGAGCGCCGTGACGTTTCGTCGATAATTACAACCAGCATCATCAGGCGACAGCCGGAATTGTGACGAAATGCTCCTGTGCATCTAACCTGATCTAACCCAATAAACTCCCCCTCTATTATTGATGATATTGGTCGCGAAAGCCTACGTGTTAAATTATAATATACTTCAAACTTGATTTGGAGCTTTCGGGACTACAGGAATACTCTCTGTGGTTCTTTCGGTAAAGTCGCGTAGAAATGAAAAATAAATTAAATAATTGCATACGACGTTTCGATTGCAACATAAGTAATCATCATCATCAGGTACAAATGAAAGAGAAATCAAACCTAGTAAACTTAGGAATACAATGCAATACAACACAGAGAGTCGGCTGACATAACAGTCAACACCCTACCTGGTTGATGACGTTCTTCCAAAGATTGCTAAATTTGAGAGACAAAAAAACACAGACACTGAGACACACAGACAGACACACAAGCAGAGAGAGATAACACAGAGAGAGACGCACACATAGGCACACAGAGAAACAGAATATATTCTAGATTTAAAGCTTTCGAGACTGCAAGGATCCATACTCTTTGGTTCTATTCGGTAAAGTCACGTAGGTAAAAAAATAAAACAACAAAAATCACGACGTTTCGGCCACAACACAAGCGGCCTTCATCAGGTGAAGGGATCAGGCTGTCTCGAGGACAGCGCTGGAGTGAAACACAGCCACGCTCAGACCACGGACCTTTAAGCTGTGTGCGAGGAAACAAGGTGCCTTGACAAAGGAATTAGCATAAAAATTAGCATTTGATTGGCCGACTTAGCATAGAGGCGGTGTACGTGCGGGTGCACTTGCCGGTTGGCGCGGGGGGGGGGGGGGAGTTTACCTATTGATGGTGTGAAAAGGGAATTTTTAAGAGCTGCGAAAGTTTGGGGTACCACTACTTGAAAAATATACTGTACCATTGAAAATTAGTTTAATGTTTAGTTCGATTTAGAACATCTTTCCAATGGTTTCTTAATTTGAAACCATCTTCTCGGTTGAAATTGTGTCTGTGTTTGTAGATCTGAATTGCCTCGTGAACAAATCTCTGATAAAAACCCGTGGGTTTGCAAATAACCTTGGTATCGGAGAAAATTATATCGTGATCACCCACAGCATTGTAACAGTGATCAGCTACGGCAGAAGAATTCGTTTTGCCGTGTTTCAAATCTGATTTGTGCTCGCGAATTCAGTCAGAGATATGTCGCTTTGTCTCCCCGATATAGCAATCACCGCAGGTACAACTCAATTTGTAAACCCCGGGGTACTGTAAGTCAGGAATGACATCCTTCACGGATGGGATCAGATCACGAATTTTGTGTACTGTATTGAACCGGACCTGGATCTTGTGTTTGTTTAGAATTTTGGAAATCTTTTTAGTAACGCCTGCTATATATGGTAGTGTGATGGTTTTGACCGGAGTATCAAGTGGTTGTTTCTGTATGGAGGGAGAAACAGCTTGGCGGATGGTACGGTCAGAGTATCCATTCCTTTTGAGGGCCAGGTGTAATGTTTTAATTCACTTGTCAGGTGGTGTTGGTCCGAAATGCAATGAGCCCTATGGTATAAAGTTTTGATGAATTATTTTGGGCTGGGTGGTGGTGGGAATCAGGTTTCAAGTAGGAATCTGTGTGGGTGGGTTTCCTGTAGACAGAATGCCCCAATGAGCCATCAGGTCTCCTCTCAAACAGAACATCTAAGATGGTAGCTTGCCATCTTTCTCCACTTCCATGGTGAATTCTATGGCGGGATGTCTGGAATTGATGTGGTGTAGGAAAAGGTTCAGAGCTGGGAGGCCATGTTGGCAAATGACGAAAGTGTCATCCACATATCTCTTCCACAGAGAAGGTCTGAGGGTGGAAGTCTGGATGGCGTCTGATTCAAATTTCTCCATGAAAATATTGGCTATCACTGGTGACAAGGGGGATCCCATGGGGGTACCCTCATTTTGTTTGTAGAAGGAGCCATTCCAAGTAAAGTAGGTATTGTTGAGGCAGTGCCTAACCAGTGCAGGTGTGTCGGGGTCTAGTCCATGTTGGACCAAATTTTCAATTATTTCAATGGTATCAGGTACTGGGACCTTGGTAAACAAAGAGACCACATCGAAGCTGACAAGGATATCGTCAGGGGACAGTACAACGTCTTTGACCATAAAGACCAATTGGGCTGAGTTAAGTACTGCTGATGCGGTCTTGCCAGTGAAAGGCAGCAAGGTATCTGACAGAAAACGGGCTAGTCTATAGGTAGGGGAGTTGATCGTGGATACGATGGGTCGTAGTGGGGTGCCTTCTTTATGAATCTTGGGAAGACCATAGAATCTAGGGGGTCTTGCATTAGAAGGTTTTAGGGAGGGACGTTTAGTTGGTTCGATTAGGGAGGTCGAACTTGTGATGATCTTGTTGGTTTTTATCACTAGGCTATTGGTAGGGTCATTTTTAATTTTTGAGTAACTTCCATCGTTGAGCAGATTCTGGATTTTGTTGTTGTATGAATCTTTATCCATAATTGCGACATATCTCTGACCGAATTCGCGAGCACAAATCAGATTTGAAACACGGCAAAAAGGAATTCTTCTTCCGTAGCTGATCACTGTTACAACGCTGTGGGTGATCACGATATAATTTTCTCCGATACCAAGGTTCTTTGCAAACCCACGGGTTTTTATCAGAGATTTGTTCACGAGGCAATTCAGATCTACAAACACAGACACAATTTCAACCGAGAAGATGGTTTCAAATTAAGCAACCATTGGAAAGATGTTCTAAATCGAACTAAACATTAAACTAATTTTCAATGGTACAGTATATTTTTCAAGTAGTGGTACCCCAAACTTTCGCAGCGCTTAAAAATTCCCTTTTCACACCATCAATAGGTAAACTCCCCCCCCCCGCGCCAAACGGCAAGTGCACCCGAACGTACACCACCTCTATGCTAAGTCGGCCAATCAAATGCTATTTTTTATGCTAATTTCTTTGTCAAGGCACCTTGTTTCCTCGCACACAGCTTAAAGGTCCGCGGTCTGAGCGTGGCTGTGTTTCACTCCAGCGCTGTCCTCGGGACAGCCTGATCCCTTGACCTGATGAAGGCCGCTTGTGTTGTGGCCGAAACGTCGTGATTTTTGTTGTTTTATTTTTTACCTACGTGACTTTACCGAATAGAACCAAAGAGTATAAACAGAATGTACTTGTTTATTATATAATTAAAATTTACTTATTTAACCAGGAGAGCCACACCGAGTCGTATGATTCTTCCTGGGCAAGGTCCATTGGGTGGTTATATTCGAGGCCCATCTACAGGGGCGAATTCTCAAGACAGACTGATAAACGTTACTGTAAACGTGCCTGATTGTCTTGCGAGCCAAGGCAAATGCGTTGTTCCAAAGCCTGGAATCTGCACTGTGACAAGAACCCCGATCAGCCCAGGAACAGAGCCACGACCTCGCAGTGGTTATAAGAAGGCGTTCCGCAGATCTCAAGGGGGTACTCGCCCCCCCCCCAACCCACCAACAAATGCCTATTACTATTATAACTATTCTATTTTACCAGGTAAGGCCCATTGAGCTATGTCGGGTTTTTTTCAGAAGCAACCTGCCTGGCTATCACAAACGATAGCCCGAAGAAGTGGCTCATCATTGCGTGGGAATGTACATCAGCCAAATACTCCAAACGCTTCTTGGTTCTAAATGTGGAGGGAAAAACCGGAGGACCCAGGGAAAAATCCACGCGACCACGTGGGGAGAGCGAGAGAGAGACACAAACTCCAAATATACAGCAGCAGCAGGCGTCTGGGTCGGAATCGACCCACGACCTCCTGCATACCAGGCGAGGTAGTTAACATCTCCTAGCCACCGTGATGATGAGCGAGAGAGACACACAAACTCCAAATATACAGCAGCAGGCGTCAGGGTCGGGATAGAACCCACGACCTTGTGTATACCAGGCGAGGTAGTTAACATCTCATAGCCACCGTGATGATGATTACAGAGAGACACAGACCTCCTGAATACCAGGCGAGGTGGTTAACATCTCGTAGCCACCGTGATGATGATGAGAGAGAGAGACACAAACTCCAAATATACAGCAGCAGGCGTCAGGGACTTGATGGAACCCACGACCTCCTGTACACCAGGCGAGGTAGTTAACATCTCCTAGCCACCGCGGCGTCCAAAGGGGCCCTCCCCACAGTGGTCGAGCAGCAGCAGCACTGGAGCCGAGGGACCCGTGAAGACCACCAGCACCAAGCAGACGCAGCACGAGAAGTGTTCACTCATTGTTCATCTCTAAACATAAACAGTGGAGACGGCGGCGGCCATGACCGTGGGCGTCACCCGTTGCCAGGCGCCGCCGTTGCTAGGGCCGCGCTGAGCTCGACGAGTGTCGTGGCGAGTGTCGTGGTGAGTGTTGTGGTGAGTGTCGTGGCGAGTTGTGGTGAGTGTTGTGGTGAGAGTTGTGGTGAGTGTTGTGGTGAGTCGTGGTGAGTGTCGTGGTGAGTGTCGTGGTGAGTGCCGTGGTGAGTGTCGTGGCGAGAGTCGTGGCGAGTGTCGTGGTGAGTTGTGGTGAGTGTCGTGGTGAGTGTCGTGGTGAGTGTCGTGGCGAGTGTCGTGGTGACTTGTGGTGAGTGTTGTGGTGAGTGTTGTGGTGAGTGTTGTGGTGAGTGTCGTGGTGAGCTAGGCGAGTGTTGTGGTGAGTTGTGGTGAACTAGGCGAGTGCCGTGGTGAGTGTTGTGGTGAGTGCCGTGGTGAGCTAGGCGAGTGCCGTGGTGAGTCTCGTGGTGAGTGTTGTGGTGAGTGAGGTGGCGAGTGTCGTGGTGAGTGCCGTGGTGAGTGTCGTGGTGAGTGTTGTGGTGAGTGTCGTGGTGAGTGCCGTGGTGAGTGTCGTGGTGAGTGTTGTGGTGAGCTAGGTGAGTGTTGTGGTGAGTGTTGTGGTGAGCTAGGTGAGTGTTGTGGTGAGATAGGTGAGTGTTGTGGTGAGTGTCGTGGTGAGTGTTGTGGTGTTGTAGTGAGCTAGGCGAGTATTGTGGTGAGTGTTGTGGCGAGTGTGGTGGTGAGCGCCGTGGTGAGCGCCGTGGTGAGCGTTGTGGCGAGTGCCGTGGTGAGTGTTGTGGTGAGTGTCGTGGTGAGCTAGGAGAGTGTTGTGGCGAATGTCATGGTGAGTGCGATCCTGCCCCCCCTCCCCGCTAGCTGCCTTTGTGCGGTGCGTGGGTGAGCGAGGCGAGGGCTTTTAAACGTCTACAGTGGTCGCTGTTGTCGCCGTGCCAGCCCAGCTCGCCGCTGTGAGCCGCCACCGATCGGCAGCGCCGGGACCCTCATCCAGCAGCGGATCGATCAAGGACTTGTGAGCTGCTATTGTGTCGTCCACCATGATCACTCCACTGTTGGATGAGGGCCGCCTCCGAATCCTTTCCCTTATCGCCGCGTGTCTGTGTGTGTGTGGTGTGTGCGTGTGTGTCAGTGTGCGTGTGGTGTGTCTAAGAGGTGGGGCCTTACCATCAGCCCCACCAAAACTAAGCACCTGCCTGGGTATTTTGTACCATCGGACACTCAACCCCCACAACTCCCAATCGGTGATGGGGCAGTTGTGGAGAGAGTGGAGAGTTTCCCATACCTGGGCAGAGGCGCTTATGACCGGCTCCAGTTTAACAGCAGAGGTCTCACTCCGAATAAGTCGAGCGACCAAAGATTTGTCCATGAAGCCATCCAGATATACAAACATAGATACAACTTCCACCGAGAGGATGTTTTTTTAATTAAGCAGTCATTGGAAAGATGTCATCAACCAAGTCAAACTTTAGCTGCCTTGTAATTGTACAGCCATTTCCATTTCTTCCAGTTGGTTTCTCTCATTTTTGACAACCGCTCGCCATCGCCTCTCCGTCCCCCTAACGCCCTGCAGCATAACAAAATGCGGCTTAACTTAGCCCCCCCCCCCCACGGCCCTTCCTGGCTCCTCCCCCCCCCCCTTAACCTGTATATAATCTCGGGTCTCTTAGAGCTCTTCACTTGATGCAGCTATTTTGCTGTGACGGTTTCCACCTGAAGACGGAAGCTTGTGTTGCCTCCGAAACGTCGTGATTTAATTTAGTTTTCATTTATTTTATTTTACCTACGTGACTTTACCGAAAAAAACCAAAGAGTATGAATCCTTGCAGTCACGAAAGCTTCAAATCTAGAACTGTTTGACCATACTTCACCGCGCTGGTCAATGCGGGTTAATGAAGATGGGCAGCATGGGCAGAGAACGTGGAGGAGTGGCACGGGAGTCGAGCTGCTGCTGCCCACAGCGTCCTCACGAGCCTCCTCCACAGAGGTCGATCTTGATACCGCTGGTACCGGTCATCGGCAATTCTACTCAGCTCCACATCCTCTTGCACCGTATCAGCCCATCTCTTCCCCCATCTCTTACTCCAGCCCATCTCTTCTTCCAGCCCATCTCTTCCTCCAGCCCATTTAGCCCCTTCCATCAGACCAAATAGAAACTACTTTGGGCAAGTGGCATGCGGACTACGTAACCTACACTCACACTCGCTCCCTTTGCAGAACAGAGGAAGCACATACAAACTGCGCACAGGAAGGCTCCTGAGTCGGAAATCGAACCCAGGAACTCATTGCCATGAGTATGATATCATGGGACCTTTTTTGCCAGTATTAAGTATGATAAATAAGAGGGTTTACCCTTCCTGTTTTTGTGCTGTTCGCCTTTCAGCGTTCTATGGTCTTGACACTGGTGAGACTCGACACTAAAGAAGGCTGTCTCTGCTGTAGGAATCAGTTTCATAGACAATGTATAGATCATTATATTATCAGAACACGTTTGTTTGCATGTTCACCACAAGTACGTGTGCTTAATGCACACTTGATTCATTGCAAAATGTTTGAACATATTAACACCTGTTTTATTGCCAGACAGGGTTAAACCTATTCTAATTTTGATTTGAAGTTTTTGTGACTGCAGGAATCCATACTCTTTGGTTATTTTGGTAAAGTCACGTGGGTAGAAAAATAAATACTAAATCACGACGTTGCGATCGCAACACAAGCAATCGTCATCAGGTAGAAAGATACAGCAGTAGAACTTCTGAACAAGAAAGGGCTGCTGCAACAAGAGCAGCCCTTATATAACCTCTTTCTATCTGATGACGAGTGCTTGTGTTGCGATCGAAACGTCGTGATTTATTATTTATTTTTCTACCTACTGTTTCTTTACCGAAAGAACCAAAGTGTACTATTCTAATTTTTCATGTCTGTTTTATTGTCATAAAGGGTAAAACCTATTCTTATTTTTCATAGTATGATATCAGTGTGTAAAGACAGAAACGGATGTCTGTGAGAAGATTCGCATACGTGCCCTGAAAGCAGTGAGCGTACAAATGCACGTACGTTGAAATGCAGTACAGCAATGGGATATGTCTTGCTGCAATTTCCCTCTGCCGGCCCACAATCTTTGACGTGTGAAACGTGCGTCTGAATTCGCGGCAGGGAACTTCGCCGTTTGTGCCAAACGTGGTTTGGTGGCCTCTGCGCTTGCCACATGGCGAACGTTGGAGCGATGCGCGCAGAGCAGCGAGGCAAACTCGCGCCCGAGGACGCCCGGTCACTTGGCAAGAGCCCCGTGTACGGAGTGCGGTGGCTGGACGCGTGTCTGCAAGAGACTCTCCTGCCAGGCGCGTCCTGGCACAAGGTCAGCGTGGATCTGGGTGGATGTGTGCGTATGTGTGCGCGAGCGATAGTGGAGCGGGTAACGCACTGCGCTACGAACCCGGCGACCCGAGTTCGATTGCCGCTTGCGTGAATCATTGGTGATGATTGTCTGCACCGGCCCTGGGCCTCCCCTAGATCGACTCAGCGTCAAATGAGTACCAAAGAAAATGGCGGCCGGGTGTGGTGTTGGCCACCAACCACCTCGTGTGACGTGTCATCTTTTATAGGTGCTCTCCTAACAGCACTTGCCCCAACAGTCTGTTCAGGCTTTATGGGGGATCTTTGTTTTCTCTCCCGAGCTCGGTGACCGTTCAAAAAGGCGAAGTGATTTCCCGCTCAGTTTGTTGATTCCGTTCCATCGGAAGCTGTTGGTGATGCCGGTTTGGCCGACAGCCATTCCTCGATTTGGTTTGTGCAGATCTCAACGGAGGTCTCATCAGAAGCCCTCGACACGAGGAAAAGGTCACCGGGTCAAGAGCACCACGGTCAGAGGTCACCGAATGAAGGTTAGTGCACGTCATCACGGCTGCCACCTCTGAGATAGCGAACCTCGCCGTGAAGGCGACTGTGCGATGAGTTCTGTGCGCTCGTAAAGCCGTCGACTTATTACTCGCCGTCTTTCATTAAATACGGCTGCTGGGCACAGGCCCAAAATGCCAAGCAGCCAGCAACAAGCGGCACTGTCCATGTTATAAGAGATCAAGGCATTATTAAACTCACTTATTTTCCCAGCTCACCCCACGCCCCCTTAATCTCCCGCTCATAACCGCCACCTTTACCATTGCATGGCTATCACTCATGAACCTCATTCATTTAGTCCCTTCATTGTCATTTGCTGTCATCAGTTTGGCTTTCACGTAATTCACGCACCACAGATTTGCCACCATTGCTTCCTGTCATCTATTTTATTCACAATTACATTCACATGCTGTACCATTGTTAATTTTGTGTAATGTGCCTTGGATAAGGTGCTATATAATTTATTTTAGGATAAGATTAACATGTGTCTTGAATCGAGCAAGGTTATTATTATTATTGTTATAAGAGCGTGGTGAGAGAAAAGACAATGATGATGGAAGGAGGGAATTCCAAAGCAGAGTAGTGCGAGGAAAGAAGCAGAGAGAGAATTGAGGTGACTTGCAGTGTGGTGAGTGGGTGGGTGAGTGGATGAGCGACCTGCAGTGTGGTAAGTGATGAGTGGGTGAGTGGGTGATTGTGTTGTTGTGACCTGCAGTGTGGTGAGTGGGTGGATGAGTAAGTGGGTTAGTGTGTTGCTGTATCCTGCAATGTGGTGAGTAAGTAAGTGATGAGTGGGTGAGTGGGTTAGTGGGTTGTAGTGACCTACAGTGTGGTGAGTGGGTGATTGTGTTGTTGTGACCTGCGGTGTGGTGGCACTCGTGGATGAGACGTGGATGAGACGGAACAGTCAGTCCCATTGACATGAGCCACATCTTCTCAAACTGTAGAAGTGTACCTCCAAAACCGACGCCCCGTGTGTATTTACGAGACCGTGACACGTGTGAGTACGAGGTCTCCTGATTGTGTGGAACTGCCCGCGTCGCGTGAGCTCCCCGTTGATGAGGATGAGGAGCCGTCTGCCTCATCTCTTATCCCCTCCCAGACTCCGTGGCGGCGTTCGTGGACGGCACCCGCGTTGCGGTCGCCGCCGCGGCCAGAAGGGCGATGGCGCAGGAAGCGGCGCGCCAAGGGGAGCTGGCGCGCCGCTCGGTTGGGCTGCAAGGTGAGGGATTTCGCAAGGAGGGATTCGTGGCCATTGTTACGATTTGCGGCCATTGTTACGATTCGCGGCCATTGTTACGATTCGCGGCCATTGTTACGATTTGTGGCCATTGTTACGATTCGCAGCCATTGTTACGATTCATGGCCATGGTTACGATTCGTGGCCATTATTACGATTCACAGCCATTGTTACAATTCTCAGCCATTATTATGATTCGCAGCCATTGTTACGATTTGCAGCCATTGTTACGATTCACAGCCATTGTTACGATTCACGGCCATTGTTATGATTTGCCACCATTGATACAATTCATGGCCATTGTTACGATTCACAGCCATTGTTATGATTCACAGCCATTATTAAGATTCACAGCCATTGTGAAGTGTCGAAGGCTTGCTGACAGGGGGTCATGGAACAGACCTAGGTGCTATGGATTGGCCGACTGAGATGACTGCCAGATGCACCGGCTTTACCCCCTAATCACACCAACCGCTGTGGCAGCAGTGTCCGTTGCTTACGTAAGGTGTGCTTATGTGCGACTTCCTCCGTGCGTACCAGGCAGTGCTGTGCAGTGGCCTCGTGTTGTGAAACTGGGACCCCCCTCCCTCTGCCAGGCTCCAGGAGCGAGCTGCTGGGAGAGTCTATGTGCGCCGTGCTGGGGGTCGGGCCTGAGTGCCTGGACCGAGTGTGCTCGCGACTCACGGGAAAACTCCTCCCGGCACAGCTCCGTAGAGAAATATGGTGCCGGTCTCTTGGGTTTGTGACGCGCAGGCCCATCACCCATTTTCACCCCGGGGTTGCTCGCTCGCCTCCTCGTCGCTTGTCTGTCGCCGTGCGCTACCGTCGTTGCTGTTCCCAAGAATCTCGCTAATTGATTCCTCCACCCGCGTTGAGGGACGCGGTCTCTAGCAGGCATTGTTTCATCTCATCCGTACTGTGGTCAACTGCCACCACACTGCAGGTCGCAAGGATACATTCACCCACTCATTCACTCGCTCATCCAGTCACCCGCTCACTCACTCATGTTGTAATATGGCCATGGATACTGTTCCCGTGAACTTTGCCCATTGCTTCTTCAACCTATGTTGAGGGGTGTCACGGTGGCGAGCTGTTATATACCTTGCCTGGTATACAGGAGGTTGTGGGTTCGATCCTGACACTGACACTTGCTGTATATTTGGAGTTTGCATGTTCTCCCCGTGGTGGCATGGATTTTTCTCCAGGTCCGCCGGTCTTTCCCTCCACATTTAGAAACCTGTGCTTTGAGTATTTGGCTGTTATAAATTTCCACATAAGCCACTTCGTTGAGCTATCATTTGTGGCCAGGTCGCTTCTGAAAAAGAGCTATATAGCTCAATAGTTTTAAGACGATGCGATCTCTAACAGACTCTGACTGTTGTTTTCTCATCCATCCTGTGTTCAACCACCACACACCAGTCAATGTTAAGCCTCACATCGGTTCTCTGCTGTCGCCCCTTGGTGTGGAACTCTCTATATCCCTTTGCAGATCCGCAACATCAAATGCACTCTGATTTTTAAGAAACATCTCCAGGCCTCTATCTATTTGGTCTCCGCGTCTCTGAGTTGTGCACTTGTCTGCACAATGTGCCGTGTTATAAATGTCATTTTATTATTATTAACTGAACCAGTTAATAATAATAATGAAATGGTAACCAGTTACCGGTTAACAAGCCCGGCTGTTCCACAGGGGTGCGTGCGAGGGGGAGGCGTGGGAGCAGTTCCGGCGGAAAGTGTGGCGCGGCGTGGATCAGATGGGGATGACGCACGCCACGCAATCTCCCGTCGCGCACCTCATCCGCAACACGGTGACGGAGGTGAGTGGGTGCGCACCGACGCTGCAAAATCAACAGCAGCAGCCGCCATTCGCCAATATGTGGTGGGAACGGCACCGTGGCACTTGTGCCAGGCTAGGTGCAGTTTCAGGCCATGACGTAAAGTGTGGAAGGTCATGGGACAGACCCAGGTGCCATGGGTTGACTGACTGAGATTATTGACAGATGCTCAACTCGTGCTCCCCACTGTGCCAACTCGCTGCGTTTTACCTGCCCGGCGCTCCGCTCGTTGTTGCGAGTGCCGCTCCTCCTACCTCCGCCGTTGCTGGAGGGCGACTGGCCACAACTGCCCAGTAGCCTCAAGGTGCACATGGTGCACACACACATGGACACACGAAAATCAAATGGCCTGGATCAAAACACCGGAGAGTATGCATAATTAATGAGCCAGCCGGAGCTTAATCGAGAGCGGGGCTGTTGGGGTGTGGAGGAGGCAGCGGCCGCATGTCATCGATCGCAATTCGTTCGTCTGGCGAGTCAGCAGACTGCAAGTCAAACAGTACACAGGTGATGCATCGTCGAGCGAACGTTCGCCGACGAACGTTCACTCGCCGCGTGCTCGCCTGTGCCTCCGTGTCGCCCCCCCACCCCCCATCTGCGCAGAAGCTGCGCGGGAGCGGCTGGCTGCAGCGCACGTACATCTCGGGCGATGGGCTGGCATTCACGCTCGTGTGCGACGTCCTCAACGTGCTGTACACGCACGGCCGCGTGTACGCGCCCCACCTCGTGTACCGCCTCGTGCCGCTGCACCTCGCCTTCGCATCCGGGCACCCGCACGGTGCGTGAGGGAGCGCTGGGAGCCCGACGGCCCTGAGCGCTGGGCGTCGACATCGTACCGATCAATAATGACAATGATATGTGTGTACGTATGTACGTTGAACTTCTTTCGTCACCGTACGTCATCAACCATGCTAATCGGAGGTGCCGGGGAAGGACAACAAATGAAACACAAAAAGCTGTTTCAAAGAAATGAAAGCGATGAGGAGGTTTGCCTGTAAGAAGTGTACATTCACAGTGGGCTCTTTATTCAGCCTACGCACAAGCCACACGCAGTCGTGGGGAGCTAACACCACAGTGACCCGAGCGACTGTTAGCCCGTCCCTTTATCCCCTTTTGGGTCCCTCTCGATCCTTCCCACACGTTCTCCACTTTAAGCGCGCAGTCCTATCCCAGCCGCCACCAACCGCCCTGAAGGAACTCCTTAAAATCCTCTCTGCCAACACCTCCCGCGGTTTCCCAATCGGACGCCCGCTCCATGGCCGGTTAATCGGCTTGTCTGGCTGGTGCGCGATGACCGGCGGCGTTCCTGACTGATTGTATTTTGAACGATGCGGCCATCAAATCTGCTATTTGGCTGCGGCATAGTTAAATTTAATAATAGGTATACGCCTCTCGGTGATCCTGTAATAAGGCCCCGAGAATTATATCGGAATTTATATCGTGCCCCAAAACGAAAAGCTTCAGGGCACAGTATCGAGGGGTTATTTTAGCCTAGAGGACATTTCAGTGGCAGCTGTCTTGATGCAACACAAAGTGAACGCAGCAAATGGCCTTCATAATAACGGTTTTTGGGTTAGATCGCGTTTATTTATAAATGTGTCGTAACCCTCCACCACCCGACACGGCCAATCAGCAAAAAAGTGTCACGTTGACAAAAGACAAATAATTCACTACTTTAGCCCACCGGTGTGTTGAAGAGTGAATCCACATTTACAGTTTGAGTACGACGTTTCGCTGGTAAGTACTTCCAGCATCATCGGGCAATTCGCCAGAATGGTGAAGCCCTCGCTTGCTCCCGGTTTTATATAGAGCAGCAGGGTGACGTCATCACTTAACTCATATCAGGTGCAGAGATTAGAGGCGGAGGGGTAATGTAATTATATAATCGATTAGTAATCAGTCATTGGTTATGATTAGTAATGAGTTGTAGATTAGTAATTATTTAAATCAAAATTGGCCGTGTCGGGTGGTGGAGGGTTACGACACATTTATAAATAAACGCGATCTAACCCAAAAACCGTTATTATGAATAATATTGGTCGCGAAAGCCTACGTGTTAAACCAAATGGCCATTAGGCTGTTGTTTTTCCAATGCCGGTTACATTGTATGGAGGGATTTTTTGGCTATGGGAGGAAACCGGAGAACCCCGGAGCAAACTCGTGCAGAACAGGGGGTGAACATACACACACCGCGCGCAGAAAGGCGCCCGCGTCGGCAAAATCGAACCCAGGCCCTTCATGCTGCGAGGCACGAGCGTTACCACTGCACTACCGCCGCCTTGCATGCCTAAACGCGGTCCATCTTTGGATATTCTCGCAGCTGTTCGTTCTGCACTCCCATGCAAATCAATCCGTCCCCGAGTTGTAACCGCCACATGTTCACCTCCCCCCCCCCCCCCGGCTCGTCCCCCCCCACCGCAGCAGAGGCCACACTGCAGCTCGCCTTCCACCTCAACGCCCTCCTTCAGAAGCACTTCCCGGAGTGGCGACGCATCGCGGACATCGCGCAGAAAGTGGTCGCGCGGCTGCAGGAGGGCGACCCGCACCTGCACGCGCGGCTGCTGAGGCTGACGCGCGACGTGGGGGCGCCACACACGCAGGTGGGAGCGGTGCCCCGGGTGCGCACTACGCCGCTGGGTCGTGGGAACCGGTGGCGCGGCGGACGGCACGCTGCACCCGCACCGCGGTCGTAACGAAAACGAAACGTCTCAGGGGCACGGGTTTGGGGTTGGCAGCTGTCCCTTTTGAGGCGCAAGCTGAAACGCAGCGCCCAGTGGAGTGGGCTTCACGGGGAGACGTTGTCATTGGTTGTTGTTGTTTCAAAATAAGCGATTTGCGAGTTTTTCAAAATGTGGAAAATTTGGACCGTGACGCCGGCAAAAATCGGACCCGACGTCCCGTGGCAAGCATCAGCAGTTATCATCTAAACCGGTCTTGGAGTTCCCTCTAGGTCTACTCGGCCTTAAATGGGGTCCCCGGTGCAAAAGCAGCCAAGCGTGGTGCCGGCCGCACGGCTGCGGTGACGTCGCCCGAGCCACAAACCGCTTGCGAGGCTGGCGCGGACGACGTGCTACTCCGACAGAAGGAATTCCGGAGCCTCCTGGAGTGGGGCGACGACGAGGAGAAGCAGAAGGAGAACCATCCGCACACGGGCGACGGGGAGCGCGGAGACTCTGGAGGAGACGCGGTGGAGCGCAGAGACCCGCACGGCCCCCTGCCCAGCATCCTGCTCGTCTTGCGCAAGTGGATCGGAGAGGTACGCCCAATGAGCCCCTCTCTCCGCGCCTGCCGCGTGTGGAGCGGTGGCTCGCGCACGCGTCGCACCCAGCGCATATTGCCTGTGCCAATTCGTGCCTACGACACTCACCTGCCAGGTTCTCTTCTGAACCTCCAAGTAAGGTGGGAACAGGCGAGAGTGCCCCTGCAAGGGCAGGCGACAGACGGCGCGTTAAGTCTCACGGCTGGTGGACAGTACCCGACTGCGCCGCACACGCTGCACTACGCTCACAGTGGCCAGTCCTGGGCCTCCCCTAGATCGACTCGGCCTCAAATGAGTACGTACCTGGTGTGGCCTACAAACGACAGTACCAAGGAGACAAATGTGGCCTGGGTGTGGCGTTGGCCACAACACACCCCCTTGTGCACAGTGCCAGCCTCAATAGGCGCTCACTAACATAATTTGCTCCGACAGTCTGTAAAAGGCCGTGCGGGGGACCTTTGTCTTTTTTGCAGGCGTTCGTGAGCGTCCTGTCGGCACCGGCCGTGCTGCTTCTGTGGGACCAGCTGTTCCTGAGCGCGTGGGATGAGCGTGTGTTTGTGGATTCGTGCCTCGCGCTGCTGTTGCTGCTCAGGGACCAGATCATGGCGTGCGCCGACTGGAGCTCGCTCATCCAGGTCCGAGGGATGGCGCACGCGTGCGTGCGTGCGTGCGCACGTGTACCTGCGTGTGTACCGCCGCGCATGTGTGTGTATTAACGTGCCTGTGTACCTTTGTGTACACACACAGTGGCGGCCGGGCGTGGTGCTGGCCAACCCCATCCCTCATCTGCCATTCCGGCCTTCATAAGTGCTCGCTAACAGCACTGGCTCAAACAGTCTGTTAAGGCTAAACAGGGATTTTGTCTTTGTATGTTCGTGTGAGGAGTGGAGCTCGGCCAACACCAGTGACTATTATTCGAAGCGGTCCTGGGCCTACCCTAGGTCCACTCAGCCTCAAATGAGTACCTGGTGCCATGTGTGTATATCGCCACTGGGGCGGAAAAGGCGGCCGGGCGTGGTGTTGGCCGCCCACCCCATCGTGCGCCGTGTTTGCCTTTATAGGTACTCGCAAACAGCACGTGCCCCAACAGTCTGCTAAGGCTATACGGGGGATCTTTGTCTTTGTAGGCAATTGCAAGGCCGTGACTTTACCTACTTCCATGATGTATTCATGATAGTTTTAGTTTTCTCGATCATGCAAATTGCGTCGCTCACAGTCGTGGAAGAACCACAGTCGAGCGGGGGAAGGCAGCAGTTGCCAGGCGGTGAGCCGACGCTACCCACGATTGCCCAAGATCCACAGCCCTCTACATAGTAAGATGTTTTCAGCCAATGAATGAGTGGTGCATTTACATGCGGGAGCAAACCGGAACACCCGGAGAACAATCCACCGTGCGTGCGATAGGCCCAACACCCTTTTCCGTACAGAAGTGGGACATATCATATGAGCCCGCGTATTGCTGTGCAGCATCACCGTCACCACCGCCCCGGCTGCGCGTTTGTTGGAGCTGGCTCTGTGCTGCCGCTGCTCTTGCCATAGGTGCTGCTGGAGGAGACGCAGCGTCTCTACACGGTGGACGTGGCGCGGGCGTTGGCGCACCTGCGAGGAGACGGCGCCGCGCTGGCCGTGCCAGTGCTCAACCGCTGGTGCGTAATGGGCACCGGGCTGCCGCGTGCCGTTTCGGCATGGCGCCTGACGTTTCGCTCCATGAGCTCCTTCAGTGCCGCGGAGAGAAACGGAGTGCGGCAGCCCGAGGGCACGCGGGGGAGCTGCCGCGTGGCACAAGCCGTGTCCTGTACCCACGCACACGCGTCTGCATAGCCGCTTTGATCAGTCCACTGCTGGATGAGGGCCTCCCCACACCGTGCAGGCCTGGGGGGTTGTTTGACCATACTTTATCACGCTGGTCAGTGCAGGTGGACGAAGGGGGTGAGCATAGACATGGGGGCATACAAATACAGTACAGCGAAGGTTTTTGTTGTACTGCCTTCTGCTGCCCGAACCTAGCAGAGTGGGAGTCGTGTCATCACTGCATGAGTATGCATTACGAAGACAAAGATCCCCTGGACAGCCTTAAAAAGACTCCTGCACAAAAGCTGTAAGCTAGCAACTATTAAGTTATCGTATCATGCCCGCCCACCTTTGTCTCCCCAATGCTGACGTTCATACAACCATACTGACTACTCATTTAAGGCTGAGTCGGAATTGAACTCGGATCGCCAGGCTTTGTAGAGCAGTACACTAACTGCTGCACCACCTCTCTCCTCCCTCTCACAACAACAACCGCCATTCGCCACTAAGTGGCGGTGACGTCACCACGGCGCTTGTGCCAGGCTATGTGCACGTTAAGGCCACGCAAAGTGTCCAACGCTCGCTGGCAGGAGGTCACGGGAGAGATCCAGGTGCCATGGATTGACCGAGATCACTGGCTGATGCCCCCTACTGTTCCAACTTTCTGTGTTTTAGCCACCTGGCACTCCGCTCGTTGTAATTAGCCGGAATTGAACTCGGGTCGTCAGGGTTGTAGAGCAGCACGCTAACCGCTGCACCACCTCTCCCCCCCCCCTGCCCACGCACACATGCACGCGCACGCACGCATCCGCCACACATGCGTGACCCTGGCAGGCACGGCGCCCTCTCCCCGTGGGTGGCCCATGACCCGAGTGTGGCGCCGCCCACCCCGTGCCGGCCCTCTGAGCCGTTCGTCCTCCACATCGACGCCGTCCGCTACCTGCCCGATTGCGCCACCATCATCAAGGTGCGGCGAGGGCCTGCCCCGAGCAGAGGAAGTGTGTCACATGCGTGCAGGGGAAGAGGAGGTGCTGCCACGACGGAGAGAATTGACGTAGAAACGTCAGCAGGGTTGGGATGACGATCGTGCATGATGATTTCTGCAAGCCTCAATAGGTGCTCGCTAACAGCACTTATCCGAACAGTTTGCTAAAGGCTACACGGGGGTCCGTTGTGTTTTGGTGGGGGGGGGCTGAGACGGAGGTTTCTTTCGATCCGAAACGAAATATTTTGGGATCGCCTGAAACACAATGCCGAGGCCCGATCTTCAGATCCTCTCGGGTGAATGCGAACGTGGCGAGAGCGCACCCCCCGCGATGGCATCGGCGGATCTGGCCACGGCGGCGTCTCGACCTCTCTTTCGCCAGATTCTGAATCTGCAGCCGCATCGGGTGAACTCGCTTTGTCGCCGAGCGCCGCCACCTTCGCCGCGATCGCGCTCGCTCGCCTCGGAGAGCCCAGCAGCGCTCCGCACAACGTCGAGCGCTAGCCTCGCGTGCGCTCCGCGAGCGCGCAGGTGACGGGCCGCGTGGTGAAGTCGGGCTTGGAGGGACTGGAGGACATCATGGCCGTGCCAGAGTTGGACAGCCTGGCGCGGAGCCCGCACTTCTCGGAGCGCGTCCCGGTCCCCGCGGGGAGCGACGCGCGCGTGCACGACGACGCGCTGCTGCTGCTGCGCGTCTACACGCTGGAGAGGGACTCGCGGCGCGCCGTCGTCATCGGTGCGCAGCCCGAACCGTGGCCCGAGATCCCTTCATGAGCGAAATGAGGGCTCCGCCTCGTCCACCTTTATGGGATAGCGCGTTTCCCCCTTGCACGTGCGGGTTTTCCCCCAGTGCGCCGGTTTCCTGCTGCCTGTAAGCACTCATTAATTGACTGAAAACATCTTGATTTATATGGGACTGCAGAGCTTGGGCAATTGTTCACAGCGTGGCTGCTGCTGCCTTCCCGACCATCTGTGGTTCCACCTCTTGGCACCTCTGAGCCGTTCTCTGTCTCCGAGAGCGAGCGACAGCAGTGCAGTGGTGACAGTGGCGGCGGCGCAGTTTTTCAAGGTGAAATTCCATCTTTCAAAAAAGCCACGGATATTTCGTTCATGAGGGTAGGAGCTGAGTACTGAGAGCAGCCGCTCACCCGCAACACTCTGAAAATGAGGATTCCACCTCGTCTGGTGTACAGGAGGTTGTGGGTTCAATTCCTACAACCCCAAGGTTGTGTGGATATTTCTCCTGGTCTACCGATTTTTCCCTCCGCTGATTATTTGGCCGCTATACATTTACACGTGATGAGCCACGTCGTTGAGCTATCATTTGTGGCCAGGTCACTTTTGAAAAAGAGCTACATAGCTCAGTGAGCCTTACCTGGTGATAATAGTTTAAGCACTTTAACAAACATCCGGACGGTGTGGCGCGTGCTCCCGTGCATCTGCGTGTCCGCGTCGTCTCCAGGTAACGTTCTATTCAGGCTGTTCCGGAGCGACGGATGTCTCAAGAGCGGCGGGCACCAGCTGAGGCTGTGGGCGGGGATGCCCGATCCCGGGGACTCGGCTCCGCTGAACGAGCACTCGCTCGTCCATCACCCACTAGTGCCGGCGTGCACCATCCTCATCCGCTTGCTGCCGCTCACTCTGGTAGGGGTCCTCAGCAAGCGGCTTCTGCACGGCGTGGCCGCTTGCCAGGTTTAGGCTACGTAGCGGCAGAGTTGAGTTGATTTTGTGCAAAGTGGCTGAGAGCTAAAACTATATAAGTATTTTTTTATGTTTTAAAAACACGCTTTAATTAAATGTACCGTACTAGTAATGGAAGAACTCCAAGACTCCAGGAAGTCGCCCCAAAGCTTGCCATAACGTAAGAGACCATGGTGATTTATAGCCAACGTCAGTTGAGCGTGGACAATTAGACCCAAGCCGAAACATAACATATAAAAAATGTTTGAAAATATATATTTTTTATGTTTAATGATAGAATATAGTATTGTCATCAGTATGACATAAGTATACCAAGTTTGCAGTCGATGCCACATTGGGAAGTGGGTTAACATTGAGTTACAAGATTTGAGGATACAACAACAGACAGAGTGAGTTAATAAAAAGTGTGTAATAAAAACTAAACGAAACTTTTTATTTTACCAGGTAAAGCCTACTGAGCTATGTATTTCTTTTTTAAAAGGAGACCTGGCCACAAATGATAGCTCGACGACGAAGTGTCTTATCACGTGGAAAGTTATTTCAGCCAAATAAGAGCGTGTTGATTCTAAATATGGAGGGGAAAACCGGAGGTCCCCGAGAAAAATGCACGCGACCACGGGGAGAGAGAGATCTGCAAACTCGGCAATGTCTCCTGCCCCCCGCCAAACGCCCCCCCCCACCCCTCATCAGGAGCCGAGGCCCCGGCCCTCATACGAGACAGGGTTCTACTTGACGGAGGGGGCCCGCCCCTCCCCCTCGGAGATCAACATCATAGGCTCCTACAGCAGAGACGACGCGGGCTCCCCCCGCACCGTGCGGGACTGGCTCTCCGTGCTGCACCCCGGTGGTACGCCGTCACATTGTCACGTCATCACACCATCACACTGTCATGCCGTCACGCCGTCACGCCGTCACACCGTCACGTCATCACGTCATCACATCGTCACGCCGTTTCACCATCACATCGTCATGCTGTCACGCCGTCACACCGTCACGTCATCACATCGTCACGCCGTTTCACCATCACACCGTCACGTCATCACATCATCATATCGTCACGCCGTTTCACCATCACACCGTCACGCCGTCACACCGTCACGTCGTCACATCATCACATCGTCACGCCGTTTCACCATCACACCGTCACGCCGTCACACCGTCACGTCGTCACATCATCACATCGTCACGCCGTTACACCGTCACATCATCACATCGTCACGCCGTTACACCGTCACATCATCACATCGTCACGCCATCACACCGTCACATCATCACATCGTCACGCCGTCACACCGTCACACCGTCACATCGTTACATGGTGACACCATTACATCATCACACCGTCACATCATCACGTCACCACGCCGTCACATCACCATCCTGCCACGCCACCACACCACCAGGCTGTCACGCCACCACGTGTTTGGGTTTTCCCGTGTGGTGTTTGGCACAATGTCGGACGTTTCGCTCCACAGGCTGAAAACTTCAGGAAGTGAATTTGTTCGTAGCTGCACTGCGCTACGAACCCGGCAACCTAAGTTCGATTCCCGCTCACCGCCAACATCAATGACAAATATCAGAACCGGTCCTGTGCCTCCCCTAGGTCAACTCAGCATTAAATGAGTACCTGATTTCAGTGTGTAAATAGGAGCAATGGAGAGACAAAAGCGGCTGGCCGGGGCGTGGTGACTGCTCCACCACATCGTGTGCCATGCCGGGCCTCCGCAGGTGCTCGCTAACGAACACCAACACCTTGCGGAGACTACACGGGGAATCTGTGTGTGTGTGTGTGTGCGTTGCAGAGCTGCCTACGGACTGGCGCAGCATCTACCTGGAGCTGCTGGACGCACGGCGGGCGCTGCCCCCGGGATGCCCGGCGCCGCACCTGAGCCCGCTGAGGGCCGTGCGGTACCGGCAGCGCACCGGCGTTTGCGTCAGCGTCACGGACGCCAGCGTCACATCACGTACCCGGCGCACACGTGCAGACACAAAGCCCGCCCGTGTAACCTTTAGTGCTGTTTTTTGTACGCCGCACCGGGTGCTCGTTTGAGGTTGAGCCGACCTAGCGGAGGCCCAGGACTGGTTCACATATTCGCCACTGTTACTGGGTCACGAGCTTGGGTCGCCGAGTTTGTAGCGCAGTACGCCGACCGCTGAACTACCGCTCCCCGTGCACAAAGACGCACACGCGCACACACGCACACACGCACATGCGAACAACAACAACAATCGCAGTTCGCCTGGTCGATTACTTTTGAACTGGCCACAACCACCTGTCATATCATCCCTTTGCCTTGCGATGGCGTCCGTCAGGACTCGGTCTCGTCCTACTCACCGGCCCCCATCGGTAACAACTGTTGGCCGGTTCGAACAGGGCAATGATTTTATCGCTGCACACATCTCACCCCTGCGTGTTGTTGCATTGCTCGCGAGCCAGGCGGCTGCCCGTACCATTACGTACGGGTGTTGGCAAACATATTGCCGGGTGCCGAACTGGACACGCGCGCCGATGAGGTGCGCGACGCCGTCAAGGAGATCGTGATCGCGAGCCGTTTGAACCTCGTCAACTGCGGCACTCTGAGCGGGGAGCTGGAAAACTGTAAGGTGCGTGATGCGAGTGGAGGCCGGGTGGCCCGAGGGTTCAGAGCGCTGAGCCGGCACCGCTGAGGTCCCTCAGCCGCTGCCTGTGATTAAATCTCAAGTGCAATGAGTTGATGGTCTCAGCCTGGTCACGAGTGACTCATGTAAGAGACCCATAGACTCACATAGAGACCCACAAACTCGCATAGAGACCCACAGACTCGCATAATGACCCATAGACTCGATGAATCATCCTCTTGACGTGTGCTGCGTGCGTGATTCGTGTTGTGCTGCGTATGCCGCGGGTGCCGGATGCGTCTTAAGCCGCCGACGCGTCAGCGACGCGCGATGGCATCGGCGGATCTGGCCACGGCGACGTCTCGATCTCTCTTGCCAGATTCTGAATCTGCAGCCGGATCGGGCGAACTCGCTGCTGCTCAGGGTGTTCGGCCGGCACGACGACGACGGTGAAAATTCGGAATTTGCCGACGTGAGCGGCGCGGACTCCAAAGGGAGCAGCTCGTCGCCGCAGCTGGGCTGGGGAGTGCTGCCCCTTTTCCACGGGTAACCCAGAAGTGTTAGGGGTGTCCTGGGCCCTGTGATCATGGAGTTCCCTGTCCCATAGTCGATCTCTAACTCAGCGGAACGAGGGTCCTGTAATCACAGAATTCCCTATCCCACAGCTGCCGCCTATCCATAACAGTTTCTCTGTGACCATTTATCAAATATAAGCATTGCACATTATTATCCTACAGTCTATAAAACTCTTAAAAGGATTTTATCCATCAAGATGTGGGTTTCTGAATTCAACTGAATTATTGAGGGCATTGGTATACATTTAATTTTCTGCCTAAAGATGGTCCACTGAGCTGGAAAGTGGGTTTTGTGTGTCTTTAGTAATTAGATCTTTGGAAAAATTGACATTCTTTGTTTGAATTATTCTATGTTCCAGGCCATATGTGAGGACAGGAAAACATCACATTCTGCTGTTTGAAGGGGCTCCAGATGAGGTAACGCTGACCGATTCACTCCACACACACCGCACGTATCAGCACACTGTGCAAGTTGTTGTAGTTATTACTCAGCTCCGACCCCACACTCAAACCTTTCACCTAGTCCACCGCTCGTCGATCACCGAATCTACGGCCGTCCAACATGCCTGAAGCTTTTATGAGAACCAGGATTTGTCGCCGGGAGGAACAAATAGGAGGCCACTCGCTGTGCGCAGTGGCGCTAGCGGTTTGGTGTGGGCACTGCTATGCAAAAAAAAAGTGGCGCCTGGGGCTGGAAGCTCACCGTGCGTTCTGGGTCGACCCTCCCAGATGTGTAGATCGCCGGCGAGGCAAGCAGTGGATGCACTTCTCACGCGAGGGGATTTCACGTGCGCGGGGGTCGGCCGGTGAAGCGCGCGGAGCGTCCGCCCCTCCCTGACTCGCGCCTTCGATTGTCGTCAGAACGTCGCGGCACTGCTGACCCGGGGTGGGGACGTCGCCTCCGCCCTGCGGGAGGCAGAGGAGAAGCAGTGGACTCGGCGAGCGAAGCTCTGCACTGGCCTCACCATGGAGCTGTGGGACGGACATTACCTGGAGTCCGAGAGGGAGTCGCTCATGGTAACTTTAACGATTCCAAAACAACGTCCCTTGTCAGGCGGCGGGGGTGGCAGGTGGCGCAGTGGTAACGCTCGAGGCTCACAGCAGGAAGCACCTGGGTTCGATTCCCGTTCACGGCCAACACCAGCGATATCTGAACCAGTCCTGGGGCTCCCCTAGGTCGATTAAGTACCTGGTGCGATAGTAAACATTATCACTGGGGAGGTATTATCACCGGGTGTGGTGCTGGCCTTCAGACGTGCACGTGAACACCTCTTGCCCCAACAGTCTGTTAAGGCTAGATGGGGAATCTTGGTCTTCGTGACTGGGCTGTAAACGGTAGATTGTCTGTCCGCCAACAGAACTGGGCCTCCAAGTATCAGGCGGAACACGGAGAAGAGCGACCGTAGCCTTCCTGTTTGTCGCCGTACGCGAGGCTCCGCTCGTGAGACGACGGAGACTTGGACGCGTCACACCCTCGGCCGGCCGGCCGGCTCCCCCTCGCCGAATCCGCGACGGTGACCGTAGGCATCGACGGCACGCGGACACTGCGGCAGTCTGCTTGGTGTCCGCTACTCGGCCGACTTGATGATGCCAGCTCGTGCTCCGGTTAAGAACGCTCAACAGGGCAGACCTCATGACGGATGTCAGCGATGGCTCTCGTTAAATTGGATTCCTCCCACCGCCTTTGTCCGCCCAGGGGCATAAATGGGAACTACCGCAGTTAGTCGATCGGTGGGTATTGGGTGTGGGTACTCCTAACTCATCTCCCAAGACGTTACTGGGCCAGCATGGACGAGTGGGCCAAAATTCACTCGAGAGATGGGCCCTCTAAAGCTGCCTCAGTGGAGGCCCTTCTGTCAGCAGTGGCGTGAGAAAATAGTCCCAGGGCCGTGGCTCTACCACTGCAGCCTTCTGCCCGTGGCTGTGTTAAAGATGCCCAGACTGCTCACGATTCCTGTGTCAAGAGCGGCTGATGCACAATCACTCCAAGCCTTCATTGGTCGCATCTAAAACCCAAGCGCAACGTTCACTCCGTGCATCTGCTGTCTTAAAATTAATTCAGTGTATTACTGTTTTTCACTACCATTTTATATGCTGATCATCGGTTCGTGTGAAAGTGCCAGTGGTGGAAATTCCTCATTCCGATGGCGGGGAGCGAGTCTACCCATAGTATAGCCGCTGTTGACTTCCCCACAAAGTGGAACTCATTTAATCCACCTCGGAGGGAGTAATTACAGATTGTCAACCCACTGACCAGGATTTGAACTTCGGATTGCGAGCCTCTCGCTCTGCAGGTGAGCCACCCGGCCAGATTTTTGTTACTTTTTTGTGCTGAGTGGATTCTTACGTCGCAGGGTCGTGAGAGCCGGCAGGGGCTTGGGGAGGCCTTCATCCGACAATGTCTTGGCCATGGCTGATGATCGTGATGATGACGATGAAGCTGATTTTGTGGAGTTTTAGCATTGTGTAATTGTTTTGTACGTATGTATGTTGAACTTATTTCGCCCCGTACGTAGCCAACCGTGCTAAGAGGAGGTTTTGCTTTGACTAAAATTTAACTTTCTCTTAAATACATGTAAAAACCATGAAATGTTTGGCAATACATTTGTTGAAGTCTCAAGCTTGGATGATAATGCTTTAAGTTAATGCTACTGCCAGTTTTGGCTGCGATTGGGAGTCTGGGTTTGGACTCTGGGTTTGGACTCTGGGTTTGAAGTCTGCACTTGGAGTCTGGGATTGGAGTCTGGGTTTGGAGTCTGGGTTTGAAGTCTGCATTTGGAGTCTGGGTTTGGAGTCTGGGTTTGGAGTCTGAGTTTGGAGTCTGGGTTTGGAGTCTGGGTTTGGAGTCTAAGTTTGGAGTCTGGGTTTGGACTCTGGGTTTGGAGTCTGAGTTTGGAGTCTGGGTTTGGAGTCTGGGTTTGGAGTCTGGGTTTGGAGTCAGAGTTTGGAGTCTGGGTTTGGAGTCAGAGTTTGGACTCTGGGTTTGGAGTCTGGGTTTGGAGTCTGAGTTTGGAGTCTGGGTTTGGACTCTGGGTTTGGAGTCTGAGTTTGGAGTCTGGGTTTGGAGTCTGGGTTTGGAGTCTGGGTTTGGAGTATGCGTATGCTATCGTGGTTGTGCTGCCGTACAGCTCTCCCACATGCGTTCAGGTCCTGCTGCTCAATGTCCAACGTTTGTTACCGCACCGCTTTGTTACCTTACAAATTTCACCCTGGTCACCTTCAGTTATAATGAACACAAATTCAGACTCTTCTGCAGTCTCACTGGTAGGCCTCGGCAAGGTAAAGTAATTTACCCTTTTTACAGGGTAAAAGGGTAAAGGTAAAGGGTAAAGGTGTCGACATGCCAAGGGGTAAGGTAACGGGTAGGGTTAAGGTAGCTCGAAAGAATTACCCAGTAGGGTAAAGGTCGCGCGAAGTATTACCCGGTAAACACCGTATTTTCCTGCATAGACAGTGAGGGAAAAAAGTATTTGATCCCCTGCTGATTTTGTACGTTTGCCCACTGACAAAGAAATGATCAGTCTATCATTTTAATGGTAGGTTTATTTGAAGTGAGAGACAGAATAACAACAAAAAAATCCAGAAAAACGCAGTCAAAAATGTTATAAATTGATTTGCATTTTAATGAGGGAAATAAGTATTTGACCCCTCTGCAAAACATGACTTAGTACTTGGTGGCAAAACCCTTGTTGGCAATCACAGAGGTCAGACGTTTCTTGTAGTTGGCCACCAGGTTTGCACACATCTCAGGAGGGATTTTGTCCCACTCCTCTTTGCAGATCTTCTCCAAGTCATTAAGGTTTCGAGGCTGACGTTTGGCAACTCGAACCTTCAGCTCCCTCCACAGATTTTCTATGGGATTAAGGTCTGGAGACTGACTAGGCCACTCCAGGACCTTAATGTGCTTCTTCTTGAGCCACTCCTTTGTTGCCTTGGCCGTGTGTTTTGGGTCATTGTCATGCTGGAATACCCATCCACTACCCATTTTCAATGGCCTGGCTGAGGGAAGGAGGTTCTCACCCAAGATTTGATGGTACATTGCCCCGTTCATCGTCCCTTTGATGCTGTGAAGTTGTTCTGTCCCCTTAGCAGAAAAACACCCCCAAAGCATGTTTCCACCTCCATGTTTGACGGTGGGGATGGTGTTCTTGGGGTCATAGGCAGCATTCCTTCTCCTCCAAACACGGCGAGTTGAGTTGATGCCAAAGAGCTCCATTTTGGTCTCATCTGACCACAACACTTTCACCCAGTTGTCCTCTGAAGCATTCAGATGTTCATTGGCAAACTTCAGACGGGCATGTATATGTGCTTTCTTGAGCAGGGGAACCTTGCGGGTGCTGCAGGATTTCAGTCCTTCACGGCGTAGTGTGTTACCAATTGTTTTCTTGGTGACTCTGGTCTCAGCTGCCTTGAGATCATTGCCAAGATCCTCCCGTGTAGTTCTGGGCTGATTCCTCACCGTTCTCATGATCATTGCAACTCCACGAGGTGAGATCTTGCATGGAGCCCCAGGCCGAGGGAGGTTGACAGTTCTTTTGTGTTTCTTCCATTTGCGAATAATCGCACCAACCGTTGTCACCTTCTCACCAAGCTGCTTGGCAATGGTCTTGTAGCCCATTCCAGCCTTGTGTAGGTCTACAATCTTGTCCCTGACATCCTTGGAGAGCTCTTTGGTCTTGGCCATGGTGGAGAGTTTGGAATCTGATTGATTGATTGCTTCTGTGGATAGGTGTCTTTTATACAGGTAACAAACTGAGATTAGGAGCACTCCCTTTAAGAGTGTGCTCCTAATCTCAGCTCGTTACCTGTATCAAAGACACCTGGGAGCCAGAAATCTTTCTGATTGAGAGGGGGTCAAATACTTATTTCCCTCATTAAAATGCAAATAAATTTATAACAATTTTGACATGCGTTTTTCTGGATTTGTTGTTGTTATTCTGTCTCTCACTGTTCAAATAAACCTACCATTAAAATTATAGACTGATCATTTCTTCGTCAGTGGGCAACCGTACAAAATCAGCAGGGGATCAAATACTTTTTTCCCTCACTGTAGCCCGCATACGCATATACCCCGCAAAAATAGCGTTTTGTGTAAAACAAATTTCAGATAGCCCGCACCTCCATATATCCCACATGCATTCATATCTTGAACGTCGTTACCGCAGCTTAATTCCATCATATTAATACAAAGTTTACATTTGTAATACATTCACTAGGGGCCGTCCATAAATGACGTCACGCGATTTTGGACGATTTTTGACCCCCCCCCCCCCCTCGTCATACAGCGTCTCAAAAAGTCAGACCCCTCCCCTCAAATATGACGTCACAAAGCTCTGCCCCCCCCCCCAGGTGCGTGACGTCATTTATGGACGGCCCCCTATCAATTGTTAACATTAAAATCATAACGTGCACAAAGAAAACAAACTAACCGGAAACGAGTGAACTTATAACAGTAAATAAGTAACAAAAGTAAATATCCAATAAATAAATAACATAACTGGTAGATAAGTAAGCGTACTGTTTGGCTTACCAGCATTCTACCTCATCATATTACAGCTACTGGACCGGTAGTTACCCCTGTACAGTTTTAGCACTGATAGATTGCGCACTGCGCAGACAATAACGGCACTACGGTAACGCCATTGCCTCCTGGCAACAAAGGCATTGGAAGTTTGAAACAAAGCTCATGGTCGCGACTGTATAGTGCTCAGCCAATAGCAGCGGCCTAAGGGACTCAGAAATTATGATTCCGCGTCTTGTAGACGCTTGTTAAGGCCCTTCCCATTGTGCAATCCATAGCCTCAGCTGAAACTTTCGCACCCCCCTACAGCCACTGAAAGTATTACGGTAAACAAAGTGCGCCCACTTCAAACATTGTCGTTTCATTGTACAAACAATTATAATCATTTAGAACGTGATAACATGTACAATTTTAGTGTGAGTGGTTTATTCAGCAGTGCTTTAGTCAAAGGTAAGTGTTGCATAGTGGATAGCCCTACCATGAAAAAATTAAACGAGTTAGGGTTAGTTATTACCCGGTAATCGGGTAATTTGTATGGGGTAAGTGTAAAAGGTAGGGTAAAGGTAGGCTCGTTGCTTTTACCTTACCTTGCCGAGGCCTACTCACTGGTGTATAACACTAACCAATTTGTTCATTCACAATGAACATGTGATCGAGTGAACTGGTGATCCTGTCTACGATGTTTTTATCTTGTCAAATCAGGCCATATATACACTCAGAGCTTCATCTCTCACTCGATATTTTCAGGAACCCTGCTAGGCTGGAATTGTAGCAAGGCTTTATTGTAGCAAGGCTTTATTGTAGCAAGGCTTTATCGGCATAAGGCACTGCCACGACAGCACAAGGCGACGCCTATCCAGAACAGAAAAGTCAAAATGATTTTTTCCTGCTCAAGTGGCTGCTGAAGCATCGGTGCTATCTCCCGTTCACAGCCCCTGAGCCAGTGGTGGAAATTCCACATTCCTATAACAGGAGGCGAGTCTCCCCAGAGGACAACCATCAGTGTTGACTTCCCCACAAAGTGGCACTCATGTTATCGAGCCCTGGGGTGGAGATGATGACAATAATGATGTGCGGAGTCAACCCACCCCTACCAGAATTTGAACTCGTGACCGCTGAGTCACCTGGCTCGGAGCCGGGGTTCCGGACTGGTGGTGGCCGAACAGAATCGCAGCGTGTGTGTGAGTGCGCAGTGGATCAGTCGGGAGTTGTGGTGCAGCAGTTAGCACTACGCAGCGCTACGAACCCGGCCACCCGAATTCGAGTCCCGCTCACGGCCACTAGCACCAGTGACGATTAAAGGAACCGGTCCTGGACCTCCCCTAGGTCGACTCAGCCTCAAATGAGTACTTGGTGCGGTGTGTAAACATCGCCACTGGGGAGACAAAGGCGGTCGAGCGTGGTGCTGGCCACCCACCCCCTCGTGTGCCGTTCCGGCCTTCATAGTTGCTACTCGCTAACAGCACTTGCAGCAAGTCTGTTCAAGGCTATACGGGGGATGTTTGTCTTTGTTTTGTCATCATTGTGAATGCGTCATCGGGAGGACACACTGGGTGGTGGGGGTCAGTGACCGGCGGGTCGGCGGTCATGGGGCGGCGCGCGTGACAACGGCTGGTGGTTTCGTCGTGCGGCAGGTTTATGGTCACACGTGCTTACCGACTTATTACCAGGATTTGTTAACCGGGAAACCGCTAACCGGTTTTTAGAGTCGGTTACCGGATCGGGAAATCATGAACCGGTAACCAAATTCCCGCGGTGTTTTTTTTATTGAATTAATTCACCGATCGCCCTCGCGTCTCGGTTTAAATGTATAAATGATACGGCCGTGCAAATTACTTGTTCGAGCCACTGCTAACCAATGGGGCCTTCACAAGAGGGGGTAACTAGAGTAGTCGGGTATTTAATCTACAGGGACTTAGGAACTTTCAGAGTAACGAACAAACCTGTCCGTATGTCCAGTTGCCTGTTCGGACCAAGAGTCATAAGTTCAACCGCCGTGCAATAGATGGCGGTGGTTGCATCTACATCTGCAGAACGTGAAGAACCAGTGGCATCTACATCTGTAGAGCGTGAAGAACCAGTGGCATCTACATCTGCAGAACCTGAAGAACCAGTGGCATCTACATCTGCAGAACGTGAAGAACCAGTGGCATCTACAGTGAGGGAAAAAAGTATTTGATCCCCTGCTGATTTTGTACGTTTGTCCACTGACAAAGAAATTATCAGTCTATAATTTTAATGGTAGGTTTATTTGAACAGTGAGAGACAGAATAACAACAAAAAAATCCAGAAAAACGCATGTAAAACATTTTATAAATTGATTTGCATTTTAATGAGGGAAATACGTATTTGACCCCCTCTCAATCATAAAGATTTATGGCTCCCACGTGTCCACAGAAGCAATCAATCAGATTCCAAACTCTCCACCATGGCCAAGACCAAAGAGCTCTCCAAGAATGTCAAGGACAAGATTGTAGACCTACACAAGGCTGGAATGGGCTACAAGACCATTGCCAAGCAGCTTAGTGAGAAGGTGACAACAGTTGGTGCGATTATTCACAAATGGAAGAAACACAAAAGAACTGTAAATCTCCCTCGGCCTGGGGCTCCATGCAAGATCTCACCTCGTGGAGTTGCAATGATCATGAGAACGGTGAGGAATCAGCCCAGAACTACACGGGAGGATCTTGTCAATAATCTCAAGGCAGCCGGGATCATAGTCACCAAGAAAACAATTGATAACACACTACGCCGTGAAGGACTGAAATCCTGCAGTGCCCGCAAGGTCCCCCTGCTCAAAAAAGCACATATACATGCCCGTCTGAAGTTGGCTAATGAACATCTGAATGATTCAGAGGACAATTGGATGAAAGTGTTGTGGTCAGATGAGACCAAAATGGAGCTCTTTGGCATCAACTCAACTCGCCGTGTTTGGAGGAGGAGGAATGCTGCCTATGACCCCGAGAACACCATCCCCACCGTCAAACATGGAGGTGGAAACATTATGCTTTGGGGGTGTTTTTCTGCTAAGGGGACAGGACAACTTCACCGCATCAAAGGGACGATGGACGGGGCAATGTACCATCAAATCTTGGGTGAGAACCTCCTTCCCTCAGCCAGGGCATTGAAAATGGGTCGTGGATGGGTATTCCAGCATGACAATGACCCAAAACACACGGCCAAGGCAACAAAGGAGTGGCTCAAGAAGAAGCACATTAAGGTCCTGGAGTGGCCTAGCCAGTCTCCAGACCTTAATCCCATAGAAAATCTGTAGAGGGAGCTGAAGGTTCGAGTTGCCAAACGTCAGCCTCGAAACCTTAATGACTTAGAGAAGATTTGCAAAGAGGAGTGGGACAAAATCCCTCCTGAGATGTGTACAAACCCAGTGGCCAACTACAAGAAACGTCTGACCTTTGTGATTGCCAACAAGGGTTTTGCCACCAAGTACTAAGTCATGTTTTGCAGAGGGGTCAAATACTTATTTCCCTCATTAAAATGCAAATCAATTTATAACATTTTTGACATGCGTTTTTCTGGATTTTGTTGTTGTTATTCTGTCTCTCACTGTTCAAATAAACATACCATTAAAATTATAGACTGATCATTTCTTTGTCAGTGGGCAAACGTACAAAATCAGCAGGGGATCAAATACTTTTTTCCCTCACTGTACATCTGCAGACCATGAACCAGTAGCACCTACATCTGCAGAACGTGAGGAACTAGTGGCTTCTACATCTGTAGAACACTAAGAACCAGTGTTATCTACATTTGCAGAACATGAAGAACCAGTGACATCTACATCTGCAGAATATGAAGACCCAGTGGCATCTACATCTACAGATGATTAAACTTGTAAAGCTATTCCCCGTGTTTAGTGTACACGCCGTGCAACATGTTTGGAATCGACAGGAGTAAAGATGGACTTACGAACAAATCGACTTACGGACAGACCTCTGGAACCTAACTCGTTCGTAAGTAGAGGAGTCCCTGGACACTCTTACACGTTGACGAAGCGGGCGTTACCCACATTTTACCCCACCGCACGCGCCCTGCAGATCGACTCAACAGCGACCGTATGGCTTGAAAAGTCCAGCGAGACATCTCACCCGTCACACCATCATCGCACCACCTTCATTGTTCAAGTTTTAAAACTGCACAAAGTTGTGTTTGTTGCTCCTGGCAATTCTGTATGCACTGGTTTTCTGCACACACACACAAAATTGTCCGTACTAACCGGTTTTCTTGCCGGTTTTGGCGTGCGGTTACAACTCACGCTCACTGATGCCACCAACCCAGGAACGGCACTTGCTATGGTGAATGCGAGCGCCACTTAAATAAGTAATATTTAAAACAACTTTTTTTTAAACACGCTTTTATTAAATGTACTAGTAATGGCAGAGCTCCACGACTCTAGGAAGTGGCCCCGAAGCTTGCCACGACGTAAGGGGCCGTGGGCAATTACAGCCAACGTCAGTTGAGCGTGGACAATTAGACCCAAGCCGAAACATAACATATAAAAAAGAATGTTTAAAAAATGTTTTATATATATTTTTTAGAATATAGTATTCATAATCTTTGGTTTTATTCGGTAAAGTCACGTAGGTAAAAAATAAAATTACAAAAAATCACCACGTTTCGGCCACAACACAAGTGGCCTTCATCAGGTGAAGGGACCGGACTGTCCAGAGGACGCGGTCTGGGCTTGGCTGTGTTCACTCCAGTGCTGTCCTCTGGACAGTCCGGTCCCTTCACCTGATGAAGGCCACTTGTGTTGTGGCAGAAAACGTCGTGATTTTTTGTTCTATTTTTTTACCTACGTGACTTTACCGAATAAAACCAAAGAGTATGGATCCTTGCAGTCAGGAAAGCTTCAAATCTAGAAAAGAATATAGTATTGTCATCAGTAATACATAAGTATACCAAGTTTGCAGTCGATACCACATTTGGGAAGTGGGTTAAAATTGAGTTCCAAGATTTGAGGATACAACAATGACAACAACAGTGAGTTAAAAGAAAGCGTGTAATAATAAAAAAAAAACTTCAGACCGCGCGTCTTATAATACGGAACGCGTGTGACCAGACTTGTCCTCTTCTGGCTGCGTCTTATAATCCGGTAATGACGTGATTTGTTGCGCGTCTCATGGTCCGCATTGTGACGAGAGATGTGCACAACTTCATTCGGTGCGCGGCTTATAATCCGGTAGGGATGTGCGAGACCGGATTTGAATAATTTTGCGGAAACCGAACACGAGCGTGGGGGGGGGGGGGGGGTGCGTCTTACTTTCCGGCGTGTGGGTGGGGGGGTTCGCCTTACTCTCCGGTGTGTGTGTGGGGGCGTGCGTCTTACTTTTCGGTGTGTGTGGGTGGGGTGCGGGGTGCGTCTTACTTTCCGGTGTGTGTGGGGGGTGCGTCTTACTTTCCGGTGTGTGTAGGGGGGGTGTGTCTTACTTTCCGGTGTGTGTATGGGTGGGGTCCGTCTTACTTTCCGGTGTGTGTGGGGTGCGTCTTGCTTTCCGATGCTTTGTGGGGGGGGGGGGGGGGGGTGCGTCTTACTTTCCGGTGCGTGTGTGGGGGGTGCGTCTTACTTTCCGGTGTGTGTGCGGGGGGGGGTGCGTGCGTCTTACTTTCCAGTGTGTGTGGGGGGGGGGGTGCGTGCATCTTACTTTCCGGTGTGTGTGTGGGGGGGGGTGCGTCTTACTTTCCGATGTGGTGGGTGGGGTGCGTCTTACTTTCCGATGTGGTGGGTGGGGTGCGTCTTACTTTCCGATGTGGTGGGGGGGGGTGCATCTTACTTTCCGATGTGGTGGGGGGGGGTCTTATAATCGGGACAGCAGCGGCGGGCGGCCGGGCCACTGCTTCTGCCCTCCTCCTCGTCCCCAGCTCCTCCCCCCGCGGGTCGCCGTGGCGATGGGGCGGAGACGCAGAGGGAGGGGGCGCAGGGGGAGGGGGGGCGGGGGCGCAGGGGGCGGAGAGGCAGGGGAGGGGGCGGAGACGCAGGGGGAGGGGGCGGAGACGCAGGGGGAGGGGGCGGGGGCACAGGGGGAGGGGGCGCAGGGGGAGGGGGCGGGGGCGCAGGGGGCGGAGACGCAGGGGGAGGGGACGCAGGGGGCGGGGGTGGCCGAGCGGGGCCAGAAATAGCGACGGCGGAGGGGGCGGCGGTGATTGTAGTCGCGAGACGCGGATTGAGGAGCAGTGAGGAGCAGCAGCAGCAGCAGCAGCATCGCCATCATCGCCACCATGAAGATGGAGATCCTCGTCTTGATGTGCGCCGCCATTACGGTAGCGGCGGCGAGCGGGGAGCGACGAGGTGAGAGGCGCGACGTCCCTCCACACCTCGTCTCCTTCCAGCTCTCCTCTCCCCCCACCTCGTCTCCCCCACCTCGTCTCCTTCCAGCTCTCCTCTCCCCCCACCTCGTCTCCTTCCAGCTCTCCTCTCCCCCCACCTCGTCTCCCTTCAGCTCTCCTCTCCCCCCACCTCGTCTCCCTTCAGCTCTCGTCTCCCCCCACCTCGTCTCCCTCCAGCTCTCGTCTCCCTCCAGCTCTCGTCTCCCTCCAGCTCTCGTCTCCCCCCACCTCGTCTCCCCCTACCTCGTCTCCACGCCTCGCTCTCGTCTCATCATCATCAGTCGCTCACCTCGCGGGGTGGATATCAACACAATCACAATAACCAGCACCACCATGACCGAACAACAACAACCCCCATCGTTAGTTCGCCTTGAACCAACATCCCCGCCAGGACCCAATGATTTGTAACAACACTGGGATCTCCACTCCTCCTTCCACCTTCCTCCTCTTCGTATCACAACGAAGATCGCCCGCCGGAGCCTCCCACAGACTATCGGGAGCCCCAGGGGCAGCGAGCGGGCAGCGCGCCCCGTCGTTAAGGCCCCGGGAGCGGCACACGAGTGCCGTGTGGGAGACACACACACACTGACACACACACACTGACACACACACACTGACACACACACACACTGACACACACACACACTGACACACACACTGACACACACACTGACACACACACACACTGACACACACACTGACACACACACTGACACACACACACACTGACACACACACACTGACACACACACACACTGACACACACACTGACACACACACTGACACACACACACACTGACACACACACACACTGACACACACACACTGACACACACACACACTGACACACACACACTGACACACACACACACACACTGACACACACACACACTGACACACACACACTGACACACACACACTGACACACACACACTGACACACACACACACTGACACACACACACTGACACACACACACTGACACACACACACTGACACACACACACTGACACACACACACACTGACACACACACACACTGACACACACACACACTGACACACACACACACTGACACACACACACACTGACACACACACACACTGACACACACACACACTGACACACACACACACTGACACACACACACTGACACACACACACACACTGACACACACACACTGACACACACACACTGACACACACACTGACACACACACTGACACACACTGACACACACACACTGACACACACACACACTGACACACACACACACTGACACACACACTGACACACACACACTGACACACACACACTGACACACACTGACACACACACACTGACACACACACACACTGACACACACACACTGACACACACACACTGACACACACACACTGGCACACACACTGACACACACACTGACACACACACACACTGACACTGACACACACTGACACTGACACACACACTGACACACACACTGACACTGACACACACACTGACACTGACACACACTGACACTGACACACACTGACACACACACTGACACACACACACACTGACACACACACACCCACACACACACTGACACCCACACACCCACACACACACTGACACCCACACACACACTGACACCCACACACCCACACACACACTGACACCCACACACCCACACACACACTGACACCCACACACACACACTGACACCCACACACACACACTGACACCCACACACCCACACACACACACTGACACACACACACTGACACACACACTGACACACACACTGACACCCACACTGACACCCACACTGACACACACACTGACACACACACTGACACCCACACACCCACACACACACTGACACCCACACACACACTGACACCCACACACACACACTGACACCCACACACACACACTGACACCCACACACACACACTGACACCCACACACACACACACACTGACACACACACTGACACACACACACTGACACACACACACCGTGACACAACCTGACACACACACCGACCCTGACACACACACCGACCCTGACACACACACACACACCGACCCTGACACACACCGACCCTGACACACACAAAGGTCCCCCGTGTAGCCTATAACAGACTGTAGGGGCAAGTGCTGTTAGCGAGCACCTACGAAGGCCGGGACGGCACATGAAGGGGTGGGTGGTTCACACCACGCCCGGCCGCCTTTGTCTCCCCAGTGGCGATGTTTACTACACACCGCTACACCAGCTACTGGAGTTAAGTCGGAGTCCTGCCTAGGGAGAGGCCCAGGACCGGGTTCGGATACAGGTGGTGGGGTTTATGTTTGTTGAAATTGGAACTCTGCGCTAACTGCTGCGCCACGGCTCCCCGCCGTAATAACTTGTCGCACAGGAGCACAGCGACGCCAGCTCTTGTCGACAACAACAACAGCAGCAGCAGCGGTGGTATCATTGAACACATCAGCACCGTAGTGATTGTAGCAGCAGCAGCAGCCTCGGAGATGTGAGCATTCTTACAAGGCCGTAACAAGCCGGGCAGCCCGAGCCAGTGAGCGAGCCTCCATCTCTCCTTGGAGGTGCACGTAGCCTGGCACGAGCCGCCGTGCTGACGTGGCGATTGTTGTTGTGGTGAAGTCGCGGGCTACCCCACTCCCAGTTGTCCCCGCAATCCCTGCCGCTTGTAGTTCCACAGCTGACTTGAGTGTGGTGGCCTCCCACAAGAAGAGCCGAGCTGCAGAGTGAGTAAAACATTTTATATCATGGGTGGTGGTGCTGGTGTAAAACGGCCAATAGTAAACATTCATAATTGGTTTATTTTGTTTAGCGAATGCGATGTCACGCCACTTCCCACGGTCAATACAATCGGATTTAAAACAAAACTGGTGTGACTGTAGTCACTTTTGGGGCCGTCCATAAATGACGTCACGCACCTAGGGGGAGGGGGGGGTGTCAGACAATTGTGACGATGTGTGACGAGGTGGGGGGGGGGGGTTGAGAAATGTGACGTCGCATAAAAATGCGCAACTTTAAATATAGACAACACGTTCTACTTAAATAGACTTTTTAATAAATGTTTTCTCCTACAACATCAGAGTGCAGCGCCACATTAAATACGCACTACAATGACAATAGTTTAAAGCGATTTGAAGCATTTTTTTTTGGGGGGGGGGGGGCAGAGCTTTGTGACGTCATTTGAGGGGGGGTCTGACTTTTTGTGACCCCGTGTAACGAAAACATGACTGGGCACTAGCTGGGGACATGGTGATGACGTAGCTGCATTATGACCCCCCCTCTGTTGGGTTAGAGCAAGTGGTTCTTCACGTCGACTGCAGCCTTGCACCCTCTTTTTTGTGTTCACTCGTTAAATATATATGTTAATAAATACATAGGGGTTTGATGAAACAGTGGTTACTTAACGTGCCCGTTTGATTAATTTGTGTTTTCGATTATGTACTTTCTAAACAAATCTGGGCATATTTAGCACCCCCAGAAAGGGCATCTCCCACCCCCCTGGTTAAGAGCCAGCTGGCTGAGAGAATCGTAGCGCATCTAGAATGTAAAACGAAAAAATGATTCGCCAATATGCTTGCACGATCTCACCAAAGAGATACTCTGTAACACGAGAGATATTTACAGTTTATTTTTTTTTCACGAGCACGGTGTAAATCCACAACCCGGAATAATCGGCCCACACGGGCTGGCTCTGTGTAATAACGACACTAACACAAGCTGCCCCCAACTTCAGTCGCCGCGTCAACTTGAGGACCGAGCCCCTCGCCTTTGCGGTGTTGATGGCCGTAATGTTTTTAATCGTTGGCCATTTGTCTGTGGCTTCGCCTCCGCTGCCTCGGTTGTCCCACCGGGCCAGCGGTTGGGCTGCCGTCAACTTGGCCACCGGGTCGGTCTTCTACTTCTCGTGCGGCCGCTGATGTGGATGCAGAGAGACAACAACTTTACAGTCGCACATTCAGGATGGGCAAGCCAGCAGATGGCCGCGTCAGCAGGAACAGTAGCGGAGTGTATCGCCGTGATGATGTCTTATTCTTCTTCGTATTTGTGGATCGGGCATCATTGCGTATGTTCTGGATGACCACAGTTGCACTAGTTTTCCGGTGATCCACCGCTCGATTTGTGTTCATCGGTGGCAACGATTCGGCGAACTTCATTGACACCTTTTGCCGCAGATATCTGGCAGGTCGAAATTAGTGATTTAAAGCTTTCGTGACTGCAAGGATCCATATTCTTTGGTTCTATTGGGTAAAGTCACGTAGGTAAAAAAATAAAATGACAAAAATCACGACGTTTCGGCCACAACACAAGCGGCCTTCATCAGGTGAAGGGACAAGACTGTCTGGAGGACAGCGCTGTCCTCCAGACAGTCTCGTCCCTTCACCTGATGAAGGCCGCTTGTGTTGTGGCCGAAACGTGATTTTTGTTCTTTTATTTTTTACCTACGTGACTTTACCCAATAGAACCAAAGAGTAAGGTCGAAATTAAATCCGGCGTACATAAAGCCAGCAGATAACCTCGTCAGGAGTAGCAGAATATATATGGCTGTGATGTCTCCGTCGTATTTGCGGATCGGGCATTGGTTATATGAGCTGTTCTGTATGACCACAGTCGCATGAGTGCCGGTGATCCACCGCTCGTCTTGTGTTTATCGGTGGCTACGATTCTGCGAGCTTTCACCTTTTGCCGTAGATATCTGGCAGGTCGGAATGAAATCCGGTGTAAGTGAATGGGATGTTATCCCAAGGCCGTTCTGTACATTTCCACGTAGCTGATTTTTAAAAGTAGAATGGCAGATGCGTTGAGAGATGATAAGCTTTTGGGGCAGCTTCAGACAATCGGGGGTCTACGGGTGGTTGGTGGATGGTTGGTGGTGGTGGTGGTGACATCATCTTGAAAAATGTCACGCTGTCGCAATACTGTCAAGGTGCGGCACACCT